ATGACCTGCAAACACGCCGAGCCCTCCGACCGGTCACTGCTGTGCTTCAAGAACATCAGATAAGGTACTGGTGGCATTTCCCATTCGCGCTCACAGCGTGTAAGGATAACAGAGGCCACAATCCGGCTCCCGGCAGATGTCCCTACCTTCATAGACACCTTGGAACTGCCGGCCACCCCGGTGAGGGACTGGATAGACTGCCCCCTCAACGAAAGGAATCTAGGCAGACCAGTAACCCGTCCACTCGGAGCAGAAGGACTGGACAGGGACACAATCCCACCCCATCAAACCGCTCACGAAGAAGTCAGTGGAGAGCCAACAAGCAACACAGCATTAAAAGAACCCCACACCCTAGCATGCGCAACTTGAACCAGAGAAATGACAGCAAGACTTACTATGACCAGAAAGACCCACACAGCACTGACTACCAGATACCCACGAGGACTCCACCATGGACTGCCCCCTACACTTTGTGTGCTTCTACCCCAGAGAGAAGGAGCGGAAACAAGGAAATTTTAATCCAAGCCCCCCCCTTGACCACACGGTACCACCACCGATTGTGCGTGGTGCCACACACAAATGGGACATACAGAACCGTTAATTTACTGACAAGTGTGATTTTGGAAGCTGTTGGACTTTCTATTTTATTTTTTCTCTCCCTCTCTCCTCATAAAGCTCTAAAGCTCATCCCATACACCTGGGACTGCAACGTGGATCTGGACTATCGAACTTTTATCTATCGGGACTGACAGGATCACCTCACACCGATCACGGCAGAGAGCCACGTAACATCAATCCCCAATGACCTGGTGTTGTATGCTTGTAATGCCATGTCTCTACATGTCCTAAATGGCCTAGGCCACTGTCTGGGGGACTACTTTTGGGACAACCACCGGGGCGGGGAGGAGGGAGGGAGACCACACATATAGAGTTCGACACTGACGACAGCAGACTAGGGCAACAGACTCAGTAAAAACAATAATAAAAGGCTGCGCCAATAAGAGAGTAAAATAAAGTGACTAAGAAAAAATGTCCAACGTAATAGATAAAAATCAAAATAGAAATAAAAGTTCAACTTAAGTGTCCTTGCGGATAGTCTTTATAGTAAGTATTGCAGCAGTGAAGTCTTCATAAGCTGTATAGGTTCCACTCATATAAAAGACAAAAGGGGAGAGAGAAGGACGACCAGTAGTGCAATATTGTATTATTCCAAAAGTGACGTATGGAAAGATAATATTAAAGAACTCACATTTAATAGAGCTTATGTCCAGCTCTAGGATAGAAGCGCATACAGCGGTATAATCCCCGCTTGTGGGATGTGCTGTGGGTTTCTCTCCGTCAGTGGTGTCCAATTCTCAAACAAGAAAAAAGAGAGACAACCAATAGTGCTCACTATTTTAGTAGTCTTATTATAAGTAGATGAAAACGTACTTACAAATGAGGAGCAGACCAACTGCTCTTGTGTATCAGCATAGGTGGATTAATCCCCACCTTTAGGATTTCTTGGAGTGCAGGAGACTTCCGAAGTCAGTGTTGGTATATAATAGTAAAATGCTAAAAATATACTAAAATATACTAAAAAGCCAGGTATAAAAAGAGTAATGTGTATATAAAACTATAAAAAAGAATAGTTGGCACAAATAAATTACCAAAAATTGCTTTAATATTACAATACACAATATAAAATATCCATAACGCGTTTCGTCAACAGACTTTATCAAATGGAATAGCAAACATTACCTGGCTAGTAGTGTTATATAGGAGTTTAAATTTGGCGCCAAAAATGGTCCATCCAATCAAACTTAAGTTACATTTGGCAGTATAAAAACTTTAAAATACAGCAATAAAACCAAAATATAGGGTCTAAGAACACTCATAATTTACTTTAATAACCAAAACGAAGTTTTAAAGAGCATAAATTAAGTGATTAAAAATGCGCACGTGCGTCACTTCCGGTTTTCGGACTATATGCCGCTATGCTTTATGGGAAATGTAGTCAGTAAGCCGCGAATGGCGGCTAGGAGTATAATATAGGCGCTGCCACATATTGGGGGACATAGAAATGAAAGCCCAACTAGAGGGCAAAATCTGAAATGCATTAGACACTCTGCTAGTAAAAATAAAAGTATTGGAAGCATAAATTAAGCAAACGAAATTAAGCATGTGACTTACGGCACTTCCGGTATTCGGACAAAATGCCGCTATGCTTAATGGGAAATGTAGTCGGCTGAAGATAAGCTCGTTCAAATTAAAGGGACATGAAGAAAAAAAAAAAAAAAAGTTCCCAAAAGGGAGCTATATATAAAAAAGGCAAAATAAAAGGGACATATGATTTATGGGGCCATATACTAAAAGGGCACATATATATAAATATAATAAATTGAATTAAGAGATAATAAAACAATATATTAAAACAGAAAATAATAGATAAAAAATACAGTTGAGCTAAGTAAAAGGCATTGGTGTAAAACAGACATGTAAAATACTTTTGTATTACAAAAAATTATATAGGTCAAAGTCTGCATTGAGGCCATGGGGTATAGGGGTCTTAAGGTTATACACCCATTCCATTTCTATTTTCCCAAGTAGTTTTTTTATGTCTCCTCCTCGCCAGGGGGTAGAACATTTTTTTATACCAATACATTTTAGAAGTTTAGGATCTTTGTTATGCATAATAAAATGTTTGGATACTGTATGATTTAAGTATCCATTTTTAATATTTCTACAATGTTCGCTCAATCTTATTTTTAAGCACCTTGTGGTCATCCCCACATATTGGAGACCACATGGGCATTCGAGCAAATAAATAACATTTTTAGTATTGCAGCCAATAAAATCATAAATATTATACATTTTTTTAGTCTTATTGGACATAAACTGAGTAATTTTAGATGGGGTAGATGGATCTGTAGTTCTACATACTATACATTGTTTGCATTTATAAAAGCCTTTTGTTTGTGGGAAGAAGGAGAAACCCCTAACTGGTGATTCTCGAGTAAAATTGGTGGTTAAAATGGATTTAAAATTTGGTGCCCCTCTAAACACGATATTTGGCTGGTTGGGTAAAATTGAGTTTAAAATATCGTCTTCTTTAAGTATATGCCAATGTTTTTTTATAATTTTTTTGACATTATTACTTTTGCTATTGAAGTTAAAAATAATAGGAAGAGATATAGATTCATCCTTTTCTTTATTCTTATAAATCAGAAGATCTTTTCGTTCTTTTTGTTTAACTGTATTAATTGTGTTATTGAGCTCTGATTCTAAATATCTTTTTTCCATAAATTTATTTTTTAGGATATTAGCTTGTTCGTTAAAATCTGTTATTTCTGAACAGTTCCTACGAAGACGTAGGAACTGGCTCTTTGGAGCACTCTCAAGCCAAGGCTTGTAGTGACAACTAGTTTTGTCGATGGCTGTATTAACACACACCTTTTTGAAAAAAGTTTTTGTGTGGAGTTGGCCTTCTTTAATAAAAATATTAAGGTCCAAAAAATTAATAGATTCTTTGCTATATTCATGTGTTAAAATAATGCCCCTATCATTAGTATTAAGATAATTTATAAAAACAATTAGGTCTTCTTCTGGTCCTTCCCAAATAAAAAAAAGATCATCTATATATCTAAAATATGAGACCAGGTTTGCCCGCCAAGCATGGTTGCCCCAGATAGCTTCGGATTCCCAGTCTGCCATGAACAGATTAGCGTAGCTTGGGGCAAACCTAGTACCCATAGCGGTGCCCCTCTTTTGGAGATAAAATGGGCAACAGACTCGCATACCCTCTGGCCATAGGTAAACACCAACCACTATGGCAGCTGCCACCAAATGACACCCATATGTCCCCAGAATTTTCTCCCACAGGCATTAAGCGTACCCCTCGCCCACACTACACAAACGCCCAAAGAGACGGGGATACCAGCAACCAAGGACAACAAACTGACCAACGGACTGGGCGACACACCCACACATTCCCACGATAGCATCTCTCGTGGCACAGACGACTCCAACCTTCCGACCATTACCAGGAGCTCGACCTCCCGCACTCACCCTGACACTCCACTCGCATTCACCCCGAGACTCTGCCCTAAGATTTGACTCTACAGACCCAGGCCTACCAGTGCTCTGCGGACCCGTAATGACTCAAACTACGGAAACGGGGGACTCAAAGCTGGTATAGTTGGTATAGCTGGTGATCTCCACAGAATGTATATGTCTCTAACAGTTTAAACTACAACTTGATAATGGTTATAACTTGTTGAATGTAAATATTGCATGCAAATGTTGTTTCACTGCACTATATCTAAAGGTCTCACCAACAGATGTATGTGCTCTGACAGCAGGACTTGGACGTCCCCACCACCTGCAAGAGCAGATCAACCCACGGACTTTGCCAGGAAGCAAAGGTCCACCACCCACCACTGCCATCCCACTGGGCAAGCTCACTGGAAGCACATCTCCCAAGTGTGCCTACAACCCAGAGGCAGATCACCCCTTTCCTCTGTCTCTACGGCCTACCCCCTACTAAAGTAGGGGGAGGCAGACGAAGAGAGTCGACACACACTAGACAATGGGGATTTAGACTGCTCCTACACCATAACATCATCACACACGCCAAACACATACATCTTACCCACACTACGACACCGCCTTTACCTACATCGCTCCACGGGTGACCTTCCACCTTACCTTTTTTTCCCAGTGTCCCATCTCTCCCACGCTTATCTTACCCTACCGGTCTTCGGACACATGGCGCCAAGACCACCCTATGCGCCCACCTGCACCGACATGGCGGCCCCTAGGCTCAGCCCTCCTTCCAGACTTCGGAGACAATCCCTTCCGGCACTCAAATCTACACGCTCAATGCCAAGGGACTCAACTCCCCACAGAAGCGAGCGAGAGCACTGAGAGAACTGAAAACCCTACACGTATCCGTCGCATTCTTGCAAGAAACGCACTTCCAAACAGACAAACAACCTAGATTCTCAAATAAACACTACCCGATGAGCTACTCTGCCTCCAACCCAGAATCAAAAACCAAAGGAGTAACAATACTCTTCTCCGCAGATACCCCATTCCACATGGAAGGGGAGCTCCCGGACCCCAGTGGTAGGTACCTCTTCCTGAAGGGCACAATACACAACACGCAGTTTACCTTCGCCAACCTGTACCTCCCGAACAAAGGACAAAAACCCTTCCTTAAGAAGACGCTCGCACTGCTGGACTCCTTCAACGAAGGTAAATTGATCCTCGGCGGAGACTTCAACACGCTGGAACCAAGACTAGACACATCAACAGGCCACTCAACCCTACCAGGCCATGTACTTCAGAGCATGAAAGCCACCCTTCATGAAGTCAGACTGCTGGCGTGCCCTACACCACTCGGAGAAAGACTATACGTTCTTCTCCCCTCCTCATAACTCTTACTCACAAATCGACTACGTATTCCTTCACCACCGTCACTTGGACGACCTCCTTTCAGCCACGATAGCCCCCATGTCCTGGTCGAACCATGCCCCGGTCATCATCACAATTGCCTCACCTACACCCTTCCAAAAACACTGGAACTGGAGACTCAACGAATCACTGATAGAGGACCCTCTGATGCAAAAGGAGGTGAAAACTCACATAGATCAGTTCTTCCAAATGAACAGCACACCGGACACCGCCCCAGACAAGATCTGGGAGGCACACAAATGTGTAATCCTGACCAGACATGGTGCAAAGCGCAAAAGACAACGCACACAGAAAACAGCAGAACTCTCACGGAAGGTAGCGGACCTAGAGAAACAACACAAGTCCACACTGAACGACGACACATACTCGCAATTAGACGCTGCCAAGGCGGAACTGAACTCCCACCTCTCCTAAAAGATCGCCTTCCAATTCAGACAAGCCAAGAAGACCTTCTACGAATAGGGAAATAAAAGTGGCAAACTGCTGACAAGAGCCCTGAGGAAAGCCAGGCAAAATTTCTTTATCTTCGAGATTAAGCACGGTGGAACCACCCACAACACACCGAAATCGATAGCGGAAGGATTCCGGCTATACTATTAATCCCTATACAACCTCCGAGGCTGGGACGACACATCGAAAGACCCGGACACAAACAGGACCAACAGACAAAACACATACCTAACCAAACACCTCACTACCAAGGTGGGAGCGGAAGGGGTTCAAGCTATGGAAGAACCAATCACATCTGAGGAACTGTCTCTAGCCCTGAAACTGGCCAAAAACGGGCCCAGGCCCTGATGGCTTCACCATCAAATACTACAGAACATACCGGAAACGCTAACTCCGTACCTACTTGGCATGCTTAATGCGCTCAAAGACGGGGGGACCCTCGACAAGAACACCCTGAAAGCACATATAGTGGTGCTACCCAAGGAAGGCAAGGACCCCGCAGCGCGTCCAAGTTACAGGCCGATCTCCCTGTTCAACCACGACCTGAAATTATTCACGAAGGTACTGGCACTCTGAATCCAGCCCGTCCTCCCGAAACTGATACATCTGGACCATGTGGGATTTATTAGCAATAGAGAGGCCAGGGATAACACCACCAAAGTAATCAACCTGATACAAGCGGCCAGGAATGGACCAACCCCCGCACTCCTAATCTCCACCGATGCGGAAAAGGCGTTTGACAGGGTACACTGGACCTTCCTCTTTGCAACATTACAACATCTAGGATTCGGCCCCAACATGAGGAGATGGATAGGGGCTCTCTACAATGGACCGTCTGCACATGTCTACGTGAATAGCACACTGTCTCGCCTGTTCCAGATATATAATGGCACCCGCCAGGGATGCCCCCTTTTGCCTCTACTATTTGTAGTAAGCCTGGAAAGGGGAAAGGGGTTCAAACTTACCTTTTTCCAGCGCTGGGCGGAGAGCTCTTTGCCTCCTCTCCTCCTCTCCTCCTCCGTTCCGCCCCGTCGGCTGAATGCGCGCGCGCGGCAAGAGCTGCGCGCGCATTCAGCCGGTCGCATAGGAAAACATTTACAATGCTTTCCTATGGACGCTGGCGTGCTCTCACTGTGAAAATCACAGTGAGAAGCACGCAAGCGCCTCTAGTGGCTGTCAATGAGACAGCCACTAGAGGAAATAGGGGAAGGCTTAACCCATTAATAAACATAGCAGTTTCTCTTAAACTGCTATGTTTATTAAAAAATGGGTTAAACCTAGCTGGACCTGGCACCCAGACCACTTCATTAAGCTGAAGTGGTCTGGGTGCCTAGAGTGGTCCTTTAACCTAATTCGAGAACATCGGCACCCAACCAGCACCAACACCACATGCCATCTCACTCCTGTAACGACTGCTAAATTCACCACAAGGAGACTCACAATTCCCTTACTCCGTCAGGTAGTGGGAAAGAGACCTCGGACACCCACTGACCAAGACCAATGGACCATGGCATTCACGATGACACACAAAGCCTCTATTAGCACCAAATACCAAGAATCAGGGTACAAAATGATATCACATTGGTACAAAACACCAGAGAAACTTGCAATCATATACAACATGAGCGCACTGGAATGCTGGAGATGCAGAATCGAACTGGGCATGCAATACCACATTTGGTGGAGATTCCCCCAGGATCCAACCCTTCTAGAGGGAGATACATCAAGCGATCACAACACTCACGGACGGCGCAGTCAAGTTCACGCCAGAAAACTACCTGCTACAATTGACACCCCTGTAGTTGGCTACCTACAAAAGGACAATTACCCCGTACTTGGTGAATGCGGCACGCAGCCTGATCCCAATGTTTTGGAAGAACACCACAACCCCATCTAGGACAGACTGGATAACAAGGGTCGAAGAAATGAGGTCCATAGAGGAACTGATCCTGACAGCAAAAGGACGGAACGTATCAGAAGATATGGTTTCACTGGATTCATTGGCTAACGACTAGATAGAACCCATGGAACCACTCACAAAGGACTGGATACTGAGGGATGAGGGCATGAAAACCATCTTGTCGACAAGGAGACTACTACACGCCAGCCAGAAGAAAAGGCTTTCAAGGCCCTGATGGCTAAGGACTGGCCGACCGAAGAGGAAACTCTACGAACCCGCACCAGCCCAGACCTGAGGAGAGCCCAGGTGCCGGCGAGGCGTAGGGGTGCAGATCTCGTACACCGGCCCATTCCCATGCCCCCACATCTCCCCCCCCTCCTTCCCAACATACGAACCACAGCAAACTCCCACACAGCCGTGACACGAATCGAAACGTACAGTAGGCCTAGAAATTACATGAGGCACCAAGAAAAAGAAAAGGCACATCAAAAGTGGTACCGAGAAAGACTATACGTTCTTCTCCCCTCCTCATAACTCTTACTCACAAATCGACTACGTATTCCTTCACCACCGTCACTTGGACGACCTCCTTTCAGCCACGATAGCCCCCATGTCCTGGTCGAGCCATGCCCCGGTCATCATCACAATTGCCTCACCTACACCCTTCCAAAAACACTGGAACTGGAGACTCAACGAATCACTGATAGAGGACCCTCTGATGCAAAAGGAGGTGAAAACTCACATAGATCAGTTCTTCCAAATGAACAGCACACCGGACACCGCCCCAGACAAGATCTGGGAGGCACACAAATGTGTAATCCTGACAAGACATGGTGCAAAGCGCAAAAGACAACGCACACAGGAAACAGCAGAACTCTCACGGAAGGTAGCGGACCTAGAGAAACAACACAAGTCCACACTGAACGACGACACATACTCGCAATTAGACGCTGCCAAGGCGGAACTGAACTCCCACCTCTCCTAAAAGATCGCCTTCCAATTCAGACAAGCCAAGAAGACCTTCTACGAATAGGGAAATAAAAGTGGCAAACTGCTGACAAGAGCCCTGAGGAAAGCCAGGCAAAATTTCTTTATCTTCGAGATTAAGCACGGTGGAACCACCCACAACACACCGAAATCGATAGCGGAAGGATTCCGGCTATACTATTAATCCCTATACAACCTCCGAGGCTGGGACGACACATCGAAAGACCCGGACACAAACAGGACCAACAGACAAAACACATACCTAACCAAACACCTCACTACCAAGGTGGGAGCGGAAGGGGTTCAAGCTATGGAAGAACCAATCACATCTGAGGAACTGTCTCTGGCCCTGATGGCTTCACCATCAAATACTACAGAACATACTGGAAACGCTAACTCCGTACCTACTTGGCATGCTTAATGCGCTCAAAGACGGGGGGACCCTCGACAAGAACACCCTGAAAGCACATATAGTGGTGCTACCCAAGGAAGGCAAGGACCCCGCAGCGCGTCCAAGTTACAGGCCGATCTCCCTGTTCAACCACGACCTGAAATTATTCACGAAGGTACTGGCACTCTGAATCCAGCCCGTCCTCCCGAAACTGATACATCTGGACCATGTGGGATTTATTAGCAATAGAGAGGCCAGGGATAACACCACCAAAGTAATCAACCTGATACAAGCGGCCAGGAACGGACCAACCCCCGCACTCCTAATCTCCACCGATGCGGAAAAGGCGTTTGACAGGGTAGACTGGACCTTCCTCTTTGCAACATTACAACATCTAGGATTCGGCCCCAACATGAGGAGATGGATAGGGGCTCTCTACAATGGACCGTCTGCACATGTCTACGTGAATAGCACACTGTCTCGCCTGTTCCAGATATATAATGGCACCCGCCAGGGATGCCCCCTTTTGCCTCTACTATTTGTAGTAAGCCTGGAGCCTTTTCTAAATGTGGTAGGTGGACGACCGGACATCAGAGGCATACAAGGAAAATGGGGGGAAAAGCAAATTATCTGCTTACGCAGATGATCTACTGTTCACAGTCCGAGACCCACAAACATCGCTTCCCGCCATCATGCAGGAATTCGAAGAATATGGTGCACTCTCCAACCTCTGCATCAACTATACAAAATCAGAGATCCTACACTTGGGCTGCGAACATGCCATGATCGCGACCCTAAAAGCACGATTCCAGTTCCACTGGTGTAAAGACGCGCTCAAATATCTAGGCATATGGCTCACCTGGAACAGCATATCAAACACACCAGACCTCACCCCTTCAGTGTCTCCCCTATACCAGATTACGGGCAACATAAAGTTCCACATGGTCGACAGCGCCCGATAATGACCAGCTTAGGCTTGCCAACTCCATGCAGGCTACAACACGTCCTAGTGACGGAAATATTCCCCTAATAATGAGACCTACCCACACCTAACCCCCCTGACCTGATGACTAAATTCAGATACCACCAGCTAGTAAGTGCACTGAGGCAGATACCCAACCTACTTTCAGCGGCACGACCATTAAAGGACCACTATAGTGCCAGGAAAACATACTCGTTTTCCTGGCACTATAGTGCCCTGAGGGTGCCCCCACCCTCAGGGACCCCCTCCCGCCCGGCTCTGGAAAGGGGAAAGGGGTTTAAACGTACCTTTTCCAGCGCTGGGCGGAGAGCTCTCTGCCTCCTCTCCTCCTCCGTTCCGCCGGGCTGAATGCACGCATGGCAAGAGCTGCGCGTGCATTCAGCCATAGGAAAGCATTTACAATGCTTTCCTATGGACGCTAGCGTGCTCTCACTGTGAAAATCACAGTGAGAAACGCATAGCGCCTCTAGTGGCTGTCAATGAGACAGCCACTAGAGGAAATAGGGGAAGGCTTAACCCATTAATAAACATAGCAGTTTCTCTTAAACTGCTATGTTTATTAAAAAATGGGTTAAACCTAGCTGGACCTGGCACCCAGACCACTTCATTAAGCTGAAGTGGTCTGGGTGCCTAGAGTGGTCCTTTAACCTAATTCGAGAACATCGGCACCCAACCAGCACCAACACCACATGCCATCTCACTCCTGTAACGACTGCTAAATTCACCACAAGGAGACTCACAATTCCCTTACTCCGTCAGGTAGTGGGAAAGAGACCTCGGACACCCACTGACCAAGACCAATGGACCATGGCATTCACGATGACACACAAAGCCTCTATTAGCACCAAATACCAAGAATCAGGGTACAAAATGATATCACATTGGTACAAAACGCCAGAGAAACTTGCAATCATATACAACATGAGCGCACTGGAATGCTGGAGATGCAGAATCGAACTGGGCATGCAATACCACATTTGGTGGAGATTCCCCCAGGATCCAACCCTTCTAGAGGGAGATACATCAAGCGATCACAACACTCACGGACGGCGCAGTCAAGTTCACGCCAGAAAACTACCTGCTACAATTGACACCCCTGTAGTTGGCTACCTACAAAAAGACAATTACCCCGTACTTGGTGAATGCGGCACGCAGCCTGATCCCAATGTTTTGGAAGAACACCACAACCCCATCTAGGACAGACTGGATAACAAGGGTCGAAGAAATGAGGTCCATAGAGGAACTGATCCTGACAGCAAAAGGACGGAACGTATCAGAAGATATGGCTTCACTGGATTCATTGGCTAACGACTAGATAGAACCCATGGAACCACTCACAAAGGACTGGATATTGAGAGATGAGGGCATAAAAACCATCTTGTCGACAAGGAGACTACTACACGCCAGCCAGAAGAAAAGGCTTTCAAGGCCCTGATGGCTAAGGACTGGCCGACCGAAGAGGAAACTCTATGAACCCGCACCAGCCCAGACCTGAGGAGAGCCCAGGTGCCGGCGAGGCGTAGGGGTGCAGATCTCGTACACCGGCCCATTCCCATGCCCCTACATCTCCCCCCCCTCCTTCCCAACATACGAACCACAGCAAACTCCCACACAGCCGTGACACGAATCGAAACGTACAGTAGGCCTAGAAATTACATGAGGCACCAAGAAAAAGAAAAGGCACATCAAAAGTGGTACCGATTCAAAAGGTACTGGCAGCCGCACACACCTCTCCGTGCTTAATGACCCCTAGAGCCTGGATATGACACATATTGCAATGCTCCACACTGGCATACCGTCCTATCACACCGTCCTGCCTCCCCCTCTGTTCTTGCAACAAGACTAGTCACCTGCACTACACAGGTGTTGATAGGAGGGTGGGGGGTATTTGCCAACCCACTGTTAATATGTGATGTTATTTTCCACACTGCTAAACATGAGCATTGTCAGGATTGCAACCGGAATACAATCACTGTGTTCACACATTCGGTGTCTTATTTTTGGAATAACCAAGTGTGTATAGAAGATGATAAAATAAGCCAAAATATAATTCTGTTACTTTCTAACTATGTTGAATACCCTTGTTTATGCTGTGTATGATGTAGAAACTACAACACTGTTTTTTACAGCAGATTTTGTACCATAAAAATTTGAATAAACAAAACCATTTAAATGAAAAAACAAAACAAACAAACAACTAAATATTTTAAAATACAACTTTAGAAACACATTAAAATTACATACTGATCAGGGGGTGTGGGGGAGGTTGCGTGGTCTGACTGCCGACATTGATGGCCGCATAGCCTGAGAGCTCCTGCTAATCCATTCTCAATCAAGCACTTGCCAGAAGCATCGCTGCATACAAACTGCAGTTATAAGTACCTAAATGTCACACTCCCACTCAGGAGCAAAGCCACCACGGAAGAAATTAGAAGAAGGGCAAGATTCCAATTTAACTGTGGCTGACATGTTTGCTGCCTTGCGGCCCACATAGGCCACCCAAGATGGCTCCGCACAAGCCTGCTTGGCTTACTATCTCTGGTCTCGAAATATAGCAAAACATCCGAACCAAAGCTTGGATGAACTTCCCAAATACTAGCTAAACTATCAGAGGTACACAACTATTTATCGAAAGAGATCTCCCGCAACTCCAGAGAGGTGAAGGCCGAGATACAAGCCCTAGGTGTACGCACATCAGACTTAGAAACCAGGTTTAAAACAATGGTCAATTCTTACAATACCATCATATAACACTCCTTATCCATGAAACAACTGGATGACCTCGAGATGATGGTGGAAGGCCTATCCAAATGCTCAAGGCGCAACAATCTACATGTCAGAGGTTTACCGGAGGCACCAAACGAAGGCCCCTTAACACTAAAGATGGTGGAATGCTTCCAACAACTGCTTCCTGAAATCCCAGAGGAGAAGTAGGTGATTGATAGAGCCCATAGAGCCCGACAGAATGAAAGCCCAGTCCCACGTGATATAATCATCCGCTTCCATTTCTTCTCGACCAAAGCAGCAATACTAAAATATGACAGATCACGAATTTACATACCAAAATTCCACTCTCTCCCTCTATAAAGAGCTAGCAGATCTACTTTGAAAACACGGGTCAGTTTCACATGGGGACATCTCTTTAAGATCATAGCCTTCACAGCGAGCCTTACCCACACCATATTGCAGGGCACTGATCCTGCTACCTTCTTCTGTCATCTGGCCATCGTGCCCCCACTGGACTTTGCCTTACCTGGATCTAAATACCCACTCCTCACCTCCTTCCCTTGGGACTGGTATACCACAGGCAAGAACATGGAAACACTTACCTGATCAGGTCTCAATTGCAGCAGAACTATTTGTTATCTAATACCATCTACAGCCACATACTACACTGAAGCCTTTCTGGGTAGGGGCAGTGTATGGGGTATGTGAAGTGGAGATAATTAAGGTTACGGAGGCAGGGAGGTGCAAGTCTTAAATTAATAAAGGCAGTTGTATTGAAGCCCTAACTTGTGGGACATACACATCCGACCATTAGTTTGTTTAACTTTGTTTTTTAAGTTTATAAAACTGTATATATACACTTCACCATAGACATTACCATACCCCGCACATTGAACATTACAATGCCCTTCAAAGGATAATCACAGAGGGTATATGTTGAACAATTTACACAATGATACTACTGCATTTTGGCACCAACTCTTCCTAGGCCTAATGAGCTGATTAGAGGTATGCCGCTACAGTCCGGCTGGCAGTGATGCCACATGAGATCCATAAAGATCACCCCCTCGATGCTTAATTTCTTTAGTCAAAACCCTCCCGTTGTTTATCACTAACTACCTCCAAGGCATGAAGGGACTCAGGGATCATAAAGGGTATCTCCTCCAGTCACAGGGAGCTCTCCCTTCGCCTTGGCAACCTCACCGATAGTAGTGGGAAAGCCTGCCAAACATAGTGATGGATGGCACATACGCACCATATAATCTTTCTCTATTTTGCTCAACATTCAGAATTGTATCTTCTAGTATTTCCTTTTAATTTTTTTTGTTACAGTTTTAACTTTTATATTTTATCAATGGTTCTTTTCCACGATGCCAGGAGACAGCGATAAATAGGTAACTGACTGGTTACTTGCAAGGCTCAAGAATTACCTATCAGAGCACTCTTACTGGTTGGCTTAAACCAACCAATCAGAGCACACTGAGTCAAATTGCAGGGTGTGGGAAGGCTTTATAAGCCTTTCCCCGCCCTGCGGAGCTCAGTCTGTGCGGTGCCCTCGCTGGGTGAAGCTTTATTAATTTTTTAGCGTTGGGGTTTATTATGTATCAACGTGTTTTTTCTTTTGCACTCAGGTTTTTTTAAATTTATTTTACAAGTTCGATGGATATTATGGATTTTTATTTGGCCTTTTTTGAGGCTGAGAAAAAAAAAAAGAAAGACATCTAATGGCAAGTATGAATTTTTAAAATTTACAGGTATTTAGCTTTTTATTCCCTGCTCACTATTTTTAGAGTGAGGAGGGTAGGAAGGAGTTTTATTTGAGGGGTAATGGGGGCTTACTTTTACATTTAGCCCCCACCCGCCGCCTATGGGTGGGGGCTTGGGGAGACAATAGATCACCCCCTATTTTCAGTTTGGGCCCCCACCCACTGCTCATGGGCGGGGGCTGAAGGCAGTAGGCCCCCTATTGTCATTTTGGGCCCCCACCCACTGCTCATGGGTGGGGGCCTGGGCGTAGGGAAGCAGTCTATCACTAAGCCATTTAACAACACTTTTAGAACGATATGAGGAACTATCCAGCTACAAAGTCAATTTGACCAACTCTATTGCGATGCAGTTTCATCTTTCTGCCCCGGACACGGCTCCTATTCGACATCGGTACCATATAAAAATCACAGCAGAGGACTTTACTTAACTAGGAATATGATTGACTGCCGACACTACCTTACTGTTCCAACGTAACTACATCCCCCTATTTAACACCATTACTAGAGTGTTAGAACACTGGATGGGTAAACCTATTTCTTGGCTGGGCTTGGCTTTACATATGATATCAATGAAGGTCCTCCTTAGATTGCGATTTTTATTCCAAGCCCTATCCATAAGGGTAGCCAGGGAAGACCTAGCAGGCATACAGAATGCAATTGACAAGTTTATTTGGCAAAAAAGTGACGACAACTAGTCAGTAAACTGTTGTACCAACCAAAATCCATGGGAGGGCTGGGATTAACCAGTTTACACTTTTATTGTCTCAGATCAACTAACCCAAATTATACATTGGAACTCCCCTCCAGACAAACAGCAATGGGTTGACATAGAATCTTTAATGACTGGTACAGATCTCCCCCAGTTTCTCGTGTGGATCCCTAAAAATCAAAGACCACTCCTGTCCAGCTAAACTTAACTCTCTCCAAATATTGGATCGAACTAGGCAGAGATATGATCTAGTTAACCTTCCACCCCCAATGATACCTGTACTCCGTAATAGAAGTTTCCTCACCTGGAATGAGGGCATGTGACTACAAAGGAATACAGGCCACAGGACCTCAAAGATATGTCCACCTCTATTTTAACAAGGTCATTGTCACTTACTACCATCTGCGCTCCCTTACTCCACTCCAGTTGAGAGATTACTTTAGATATCATCTGATACATGATTGTACGGAACGCAAAGGTTCGTGAAAAAGGTGACAAATCGATTACTTTCTTCGAGAAAACTTCCCAAACTAAATTAATCACTTTACTATATGAATGCTGACTCTGGTGACTCAGATACGCTTCAATACACGGAGCGATGGGAGGCCGACTTAGAGAAGGTGCTGAAGGGTACAGATTGGCAGGACATTTGGGATGCTGGTGCTAAAGTCTCCATTTAGGTACTATACTACCCCTGTTAATACCATATGAGACTACGTCCCACTGATACTTGTTGGCACCTCTGTGGGGAGAATATATCCACATATGGTGGTCTAGCCCTAAGACCACAGATAACTCAAATCTCCCCAGAGTCATTGCCAAAATTAAAGACAATTACTTGATGGATAAATTAGCCTCACGGGTCCGAAACAAGTTTTTCAAAAAGTATGGAACCTCTGGGAACAATACGATGAATAACTCAGTGTTATTCCTGATATACAAAATTTGGAAATAAAAGAATGAGCCAAGTGCGGCCTCCAGGTGTTGTGGAACTTTACTTTTTATCATTACGGTTTTCCTTTTTTTATTTTACATTCTTTATTTTTGGTTCAGGTCATAGGTACAATGAAGCCAAAATGAAGTGTAAGAAGGATAAATGCATATCTCAACATTTGAGCAGCACAGTAGACAGAAGCCTATACCTACATGACTTTCTTGATATGCTCAATGTGTTTAGTCCTTGGACACCAACCGGCTCATTTAAGCTCCGGACACTGAAGAGTGACCATCGCTCTCCTGAGGAAGTCGCAAAGGACGAAATGTGTTGAGCATATCAAGCAAGTCAAACCCCTGAAAGGACATTTGTACAGCGGCCTCTTGGATTCTCCTACTGCTTCTTATCTGCAGAGGAACTTTGTTTGGTATCCAGAGGTACAGATTGTAAACTGAAATTCTTGGGGACTTGGCTTAATTGTAGGCAGAAAAGCGTTTTTGCACAAATTATGTTTTTAATTGTGCCAATAATTTTTTAAGTGTTCCATTGTATCGGTTTTTATTCAAAATTTTAATTAAAGTTTGCACTATTATTCAAAAGTAGAGAGCAGGCAGGAGAAAAGTAGGAATAAGTAAATTATCCTAATAGAGTGAGTTTCCCTCTCTCAGGAGAGAAACAGAATGGGAAGAATATAGTAACTAATTCCCAATTTCCCAAGATTATAAAATTTAGCTTTTAATCTGGAACTAAATAAAAAAGAAAATAACGGTTAGTAAGGTAACCCACCAAACTTAATGTGTTAAAGAACGGCAGCTATAGGCTACAATGCTGTACAGTGAATGTACTATTGCCAACAGTAGTGTGCTCATAACAATAATGCAGTTTAGTATGACTGCATGATTAAAATGCGGTGAATACTCCAAACTGTTAAATCAGCTCAACAATACTTGCTGAAGTTTGTTTTTTATTTAGTTCCAGATTAATTTACTTATTCCTACTTTTCTCCTGCCTGCTCTCTACTTTTGTATTTTTGGTGAAGAAATTCACAAGGGGTTAACTCCCACTTGGGAGAAATTTATTAAAATATCCTCCTTTCCCCCTGGTTTGCACTATTATTCTCTTTATGTTTTATCTTTCATGTGAGGTTGCATTCTCCTCTTCCAAGTGGTAACTATTATGTGCCTCACGTTTGTGATTGTGGTACCCTGCACTGTATTTTAATTTAGGGTTGATGTAGGGCTGGCACTTACTAGACATATGAGGTATTTAAAAATCAGGACTGATAGGTAAATCTAGTTTGAGGGGTTTTTTTTTAGGTTTTATACTTGAAGCATTTGGGGACAGGGCAAAATACATCTTTGCCTTTGTAGCCAAAAATCCTTGCCTTAGCCTGTTTTATTATCTAGAATTTCTCCCAAGTCATTTTCATTTAATGTTATCCCAAAGTCAACCCCATCTAATGTATGTGGCTTGTGTGTTCCTTATTTCAAAATGCATGACTTTGAATTCATCTGTATTGCATCTTATCTGCCACTCACCTGCTCATTTCACCAAATTTATGCAAACCGCTCCGTAGAGAAATTATATCATGTTCAGACTGTATTATCTTACCTAGTTTTGTGACATGTGGAAACACAAATGACTTTCAAATATAATTTACAAACAAATTAAAGAGAATTGGGCCCCTGACAGAACCCAGAGGCCCACTTACCACTTTTGCCAAATTAAACCCCTTAAGGACCAAACGTCTGGAATAAAAGGGAATCATGACATGTCATGTGTCCTTAAGAGGTTAAAATGTTCCATTTACAACTACTCTTTTAGTGTAAGGATTACAAGTTGATCCAGCACGCAGAACTGTGTCACACCTAGGACTAAGTATAACGTATAATCGGACCTTAGAATGGCCGGACTTAACCTAGCCAAGAATAGTCAAAATACTTGCCGAGGTCAGGAACACAGACTCAGACACAACGATGAAGAAAAGCCAAAAGTCAAGGATACCAGAATTCAGGGAAGTCAAAACTAAGCTAAAGTCAAATACCAGAAAAACAAGATCAGGATGAAACCACGACAGGGCAATGAGCAAAAGGAGAATTGGGTTTAAATACCCCTCCCGTGAATCTGATTGGCCGTAACCAGCCTTTGACCCCAAAAGCAATCAGGTTTCCATGTGCATGATTGCTGCTCGAGACAACTTTTTCTATCAGGACGGTAATGTTGCTCGATACAACTTTTCCTGTCAGGATGGTAAATGCCATTAACCACTTGTTTATGTGCGGATGAATACGTGACATTTATTTATGAAGAAAAGCTAGGGCAACTGCATTTGTTTTCTTTAAGAAACAAATGCAGAAGAGATATGATATACCACTGTACAAATATATATAGGGTCTGTACAAACAACTATGACTTAACCTATTCATTGGTGGGAATGTACAAAAGACAAGAGGTCACCCATTCAGACTGGAAGAAAAGTATTTTCTCCTACAGCAGAAAAATGGTTCTTTACAGTAACACAATAAAGATGTGAAATTCTGAACCTAAAGAGGCTGCCTTATCCAATTCTTTTTATAAAAGGCCTGGATGTTTTTGCAAAAACAGAATATTCAAGGATATAATTGATCTGTATATGAACATATTGTTGATCTAAGGAGAAATCAGATTGCCATTATGGCATCAAGAAGATTTTTTTTTTTTTTTTAACTTTGTGGCATAATTGGAAATGGTTACAACTGTGTTTCTTTTTGCCTTCTTTTAGATCAGCAGCATAAAATAATGACTTTCAGGGCTGAACTTGATGGACCAAAAATCCAAATAAGAAAATACAGGGGCAAAATGCAGTATTATTGTAACTTGATGCATAACGTAATTTGTTCTAGCCATAAACCACAACAGCCAAATTAATGCCTCAAGTAAAAAAATAAATAAAATAGAACAAAAACAAAAGCCAGAAGTAAATAAATTATATATGACAATTGTGATACTAATATGTGTATAAGAAGTTATGTCTGTCCAACAAGTCTCAAAAGCTTTGTTCTATAAATGTTCAGAAAGGTTTGTGTAGGGTAGGGTAATATCTATGTATATATCCAGACTACTGCACTCCATTTTACCAAACTTTTTTTTTGCCACACTGCACCACCAGCCAATAAATATAATCCAAAAAAATAGATCACTTGCGGCTCATTCCGATGTAGCAATAATTTATTTTTTAAAAATTCACAAAAAGGTGACTTTTTAAAAAATAAAATATTGCTGCATTAGAAAGGCAAGTGAGTACGCTCTTCCTTGGATAATATTGTGCATCTCTCGTCTCTCAAATCAACTTCTGAACATTAGATCATTACTGTGGTGTGCTACTATAAATAATTTTAAATCCATTTAGGTACCTGCTTGACCCTTGAGAAAACAAGTTTCTGCAGTGTGCAGGGCTGGGAGCTCAGGATATAGTGGTCTGGCGTTTCCCCCAATTTTTTTTTTTCCTGTTCTGGCAGTTGGTACTTTGACTCTGCCTTATTGGGAAGCTGTAAAACAGCGTGTTACACACGTGAATAACCATTTCCAGGTTTGTGTCGTTAACATGGTAGTAGACTCTTCCCAGACATTTTAACAGTTTTTTTTGCAGGGTTTATGATGCCATTTTATATGCCATTGGTTGCTTTCCTAGCCCCATCCTTTTTGCATGGTCAATGCTACAGGCAGCAAGCATACTATGAGCGGCTACGTTAATTTCTGCTCCTGGAGCCTGTGCTGGTTTCCTTCCAGCCACCCACCAGCAGCATGCTGCACTAGAGATCGGCACACTAAGGGCAGGCTAGTGGGACTTTGGAAAAGCCCCATTGGCAGGATCTCTGATTTGGGGTTTATAATAAAAGGGAGAATTTTAACTCAAGGCTTTTCAGGGTTCCACTTGGGGCTTCAGCCCTGGTCTCTCCCCCATTGAAAAAGTATTATTGGATGTTTATACAAAATGTTGGAGTGCACGGATTTATCATTATTGAACTGCATAGAGAGTCTGGTTTATGAATGTGAAATGTTTAATTAAAAGAATGGCAAATAAGAAAATATACTCCAAAAGAATAACAGAAAAATATAAGTACAATGGAATATTGCTGATGGCTGATAAACAAACATATTTAAAAATATATATATTCAAAGTAGATTAGAAGAGTCAATAGTGGTCTTCTAATCCTGGTAGAGATGATTTGGAGAATTGGCGCACCACCGCATATTTCACAATTTGGTGCTTTAAGTAGGAAATATTGTCTATTTGTAATGAAAGAAAAAGCACACAATGACAATCACTTAAAAAATACAATGTATTTACATAAAATTGCAAAGTCTTGACACTCTAGTGTGGTTTACCTGCCTTATTGGCCAAGTTTATATTTCATTATTGTCTCGTTTTTGAGAATGCAAAAGCATACGGAAGAATACTTAAAGAATTTGAAACCGCTTTAGCTTTCAATGAGACAATTCATATATGGATTCGAGGATGAATAACATTGTACTGATGTATTTTTATTCCTATTGAGGTCCCACTACCACCGCCAATTTTGTCAGAAATAAATGTCATAATAAAACTAAAAAAGTTATTAAAAAGTTATGCTTTAGGAAGTAGTAGTAGGTAGGGCTGTCATTTAAAAGGGTTAATTGTATAAAAAACAAAACAAAAAACAAAAAAAAAAACATACACACTTGTGAAAAATATAGCCAACTTCTAATTAACTATTGATAATTTCTAAGTAAGCTAGCTAGTTGAAATCCTGCAGATTTGATTGCGCAGGTACGTGCAGAGCTGATTCATCAAGTCCCGGTTCTGGCCTTCAACCCAGTGCATCTCAACCAGTACATCATTGGACTCTTCTTTAATGTTCATTAAACACTTAAAAAGAAAAGGAATACCAATGCTTTGGGTTTTTGGCGTGCTTTCGCCAGCAGACTGAATAATTTCTTCGGTTGAGTCATGCTCATTCTCTACAAGGTGTTCACTAAGTGATGCTTCATCTGGTTTCGTGGTCATTTGTTCCTTTTCCTCCGATTTCAGATTAGGATCATTAGTAAGGAATGGAGCAACATGGGTAAAGCTATCAGAATTTGAAGGTAAAGGTACAATGGAACTGGTGTTTGAAGATGTAGAGTCAATTTTACATGTAATTGGTGCTGCCTCTGGTATTTGATAGTCTTCTTTTAAAGCCTCTTTTTTTACTGGGCTTGCCTCCATCTTCATTAAGTCATCAGGAGCTCTGGGTAATTCTCTCAGTTGCCTCGTGCTCTCTCTTTTTTTTCTGCGTATGTGAACCCAGGAGTTTTCTATCGTTGTAAGGAACAAGCTCTCTTCTTTATCTCCACATGTGACATATTTATGCTGAACCTGTTAAACAAAATGTTCACAAATGTAAAGTATGCAAAATAAGTACGTTTAATGAAGGCATATAGGTCTGACATTACCGTGATAATCTGCACCTATAGTAAATAAGGAACACAGAAAAAGAAAAACAACGGATGAGCGCTATTCGACCAAACCAAATTATAAGGAAAAGGCAGTTCACCTAAAGGAAGGGTCTCCCTCACGAACCCCAAAAAGAACAGGACAATACAGCAAAATGAGAGGAAGGTTGCCCCAATAAAATTATAACAAAGGATATTCCCAATGGGAAATAGATACAGAAGAATAAAAAGCAATAGAATAGAATAAAAAAAATAAAATAAAAAAAAATAAAAAAAATCTAGAGCTGGTTCTAGCTCTAGAAAACTTAAGTAGGACTCCGTAAGATCTATGAATTATTAGTGTCATATAGTGTCGTGATATACACCACTATTGTATTTTCCTCTTTTTTGTATTTTGATATGGATCCCAAACATTTTTTGATCTGGCAACTCCGTAGAGAAGATACTTTCCTACAAGCTTTGGCTGTTCTCCTTGCAGTTTTGCACATTTTATTGGTTATATTTAGCCTTTTTTTTTTTTTTTACTGTTGGTTTTTATTATTCTGTATTTATCTCCCATTGGCAATATCTTTTATTACAATTTTATTGGTGCAAACGTCCTCACCTTTTGCTGTATAGTAAATAAGGAACTGTAGACTTACAAGAGACAATCTGTAAATGAAAATTGTCCCTGCACTTGTTCTTACAATGTTGAGTGGTGTGTGCCCCAGGTTTCAGAATTTTGTGCATATTCATGTTATAACTACTAATAAAGCAAATGAAAAACAAGGTTCATATCAAGAGCACATACAGGGGTGGGGCAATCCTATTGGTTGATGTTGACGTTGGAAAGGCAGTCTTTTTCTGCTTTGAGCTCTGCCATAGGCAAATGGCAGGACTGCTACAGGGAGTTATAGTGCAGGTGCAGACCTCAGTAATCACTCACAGTCCAGAGCACACTAATGGAGTCACAGCACAACCACTTATTCTCAATCTGTGCTCCAACACACTGAGTCCCAGGACTGTGAGGGAGTAATTCCTGTAGTCTACTTCTGTTGCTTCTCTACTGATCCACCAGGGTTGATAACTTCTCCTCCCTGCAGAAATTATACAAGATGGGGAGAGGGCAGCGGCAAAGCAAATACAACACACATTACAAAAAGCTGGCTTACTACACATATTGCAAACAGCCAGCACACACTATAGAATAGCATACCAGCAACTATAATTCAGCGCTTAAGTAAGATGATAACAGTCCAATGGCAGCTAAAACACCAGTTTCCGGTAAGATGCAGGGTAAAACAGGAGGTAGGTGTAGTGCCTAAATATTCCTTATCAGGGAGTAGAAAACGATAGTGTGGTATGTAAGTATCGTTACATACTCCCTGATAAGGACTATTTAGGCGCTACACCTACCTCCTGTTTTACACAACACCATGGGGACAACAGAGAGACTTCAGGGAAAAGAAGTCAACACACTCCAGGTTATTCAGTAAGCTCTGAATAAAAACACAATGAAACACAGATTGTTTGTAAAGTCATGTTTTTACGGTTACCACTAAGCACCATAACCACTTAATTGATTTGAAGTGGTTATGGTCATGGTGCTTGGAGTCTATGTGCAGTGTTTCACTGTAAGACTGTGCAAAAATTATGCAGGAGGTATAACTTCTATCTCTGGCAGCATCATGGGATGTCTTCAGCAGCCTGAATACTAGAGTTCCAGGCTGGCTAATGTCAATTCTGTGCATTTTTTGTGTGTGCAAAGTGTAATACTCTCAGCCCATAAAGGTCGACTGGCATTGGCTTCCATCTTCTCCAGCTCTGCAGAAGCCAGAAGTACATCAACACCTCAGCAGCAGGAAGCCTCGATGGAATCCAGGTAAGATGGCTAACTATTACTAAACAGTATGGCCAATTACTGGGTAAACAGGCCAGGGTACTTTAAGGATTATAACCACTACAGTGGGCTGTGGCAATTATGATGCTTGGAGTAACACTTTAAGAAACACAGCTGTGAATATTTTTTGTGGATTAGCCAGAATTAAAATTTTTGTACTGTGAAAACATTACTGGTCATGGCAATTAGAATAGGATCCCTCGTACATAACATCAATGGGTAAAACCAAAACTAATTAATATCTAATGGATGTGTTGTCCAATTTTCATGGCATTTATAACCATTTGTAGAATCCTCTAAAACGGACATTATAGCTGTCAAAGATGTCCTACCTTCAGTTCAGTCAAGATCTTCTTCAACCATTCAGAAACCACTCCAACGTTTCCTATGACCTCTGTGCATTTGGAAGATTTAGCCTGCAGCATTTTTACAGTTGAATTTAGTACTGTGAACACCATGGGTTTACGTGGCTTCTCAAGCTTCCGTTTTTTAGGAGGGTTCTGAAATCAAATGGAAAAAATAAAAAAAAAATGGGAAAAATGTGATTAGCACTTAAACTTCAAGTAAGGAATATTTCAAAAGCAGAAGACAGATAAACTTTAAGACTTCCAAAAGGCACGCATTTAAATAAACTCTCAAAGTGCCCAAATCACTTTGTCTCAATGAAGAGCTTCTGGTGCATAAATGTTGTCTTTTCTTGTTGTTTCAGAGAAAAGGCTTTGGACTGGACAGAAGTCCTCATTACAAATGAGTTCGCCAGATGAGCGATGGAGCAGCTGCTATATAGAGACGGATATATCACTGGAATAAAGAAGAGTTTTATTGCCAATTTTAATAGGACACTAATCTAGATGCTACCACTCAAGAAAAAAAAATATTTTTCTTATTTTTTTAGAGTGTTCCTTTAATACAGGATGGACAAATCTCAACTTCACACTTATTTTCCCCTCAAGAGACACAGAAAATTTGGTTATCTTGATTCACATGCACAAACTGCAGTCAAAGAATTTTCACTTGCAGCCCGTATTCCACAAAATAGTTTATGTAGGCGGTTGCTGGGAATCTCACATGATTGAACATTTTTATTTTTACTCACAAACCACTAGATGGAGACAGAAACTACTACAAGAAGCATTCAAGGAAAACGTACTGCGCTGATTTTATAATCACAGAAAAGTAGTGACTTATTAATTGTAAGCACAAATATATTCTGTAGTGTTATAAAGAGGTGGACTAACAAACAAGCAGTTGCAAAAAGGCAAGGCAGACATACAGGAGCAGGAATTAAAAAAGATCCTACTCAAATGTCCTTACCTGATAATCCTTACATGCTAAACAAAACTGATTTAATATTCATGTATAAGCTTTCTAAATGATTTAATATTAACTTTTAAAATATTTCAACATTTTATTAAGAAAATATAAATATATCATTATATAAAAAAATAGTTTATCCAACTTTTAGGTTATTTGGAAAGCTTATCCAATAATATTAAATTAAGGCCTTAAGAAAAAGAGTTAAAATCATATTATTATTATATTATTTATATTGCGCCAGCAAATTCCATAGCGCTGTACAATGGGTAACAAACAGTAACAGTCACGTAATTGTAGCCAGACAAATGCTTCCACCCGCAGTGCAAAACCCTTTTGTCACTTAACTGAATCCAGCGCCAATATATATAAAAAAAACTTTTCCTGAATATGGATGGTGTATTTAGTTCTCTCTAGCATGGAGACCTACAAGACATGGAAATCCAATTCTTCGTTAAAGGGACACTATAGGCACCCAGACTTCAGCTCATTGAAGTGCAATAATTACTACCCAGGGTTAACTCCAGCTCTGGACACAACCACTAGAGGGACTTCTGGGTCGTTAAGCAAATTTTGGTGGCCTGACGCTGGATGTCCTCACACAGCGTCACCCAAAACCTTGCTCGCCGCCATGCGCATTTGGTCCCCGACGTCAGAGGACCCAAGGCGAAGCCTGAACCAGCGCTGAGGGACATCGGCGCTGGATTCAGTTAAGTGACAAAAGGGGAAATGCACTGCAAGTGGAAGTGGCGTGGAAGGGCAATATAGGGAGCTATAGTGCTAGGAACACAAGTTTGTAAAGTCCCCAAACGGTAACAGTGCCGCTTTAAGATTGTATATATTAAGCTCCTTTTAGATTGTCTAATACAGATACTCCTCACTTACCGATCGGGTTCCGTTCTTACAACTCGGTCGTAAAACTAATTGGTTGGTAGTGAGGATGTGCTACACAGCATGCGTACCTGTGCAGGTCTATGTTCGGGGAGATTTCTCCGAACATAGACAAGCACAGCAGAGCAGGGAATCCTTCAAATCTATGTTCGGGGAACGTTCCCCGAACATACATTAGATGAATTCCCTGCTCTGCTATGTTTTTCTATATTCGGGGAAATTTCCCAGAACATAGATTAGAGGGAGTCCCTGCTCGGTGCGGGAAAATTTTACCCGAATGTAGACATACGCACCAGAGCAGGGAATCCCTCTAATCTATATCCGGGGAAAATTCCCTGAACGTAAACCAACTCTCTGACGTGGGAACCCCTTGAATCCCTACGCTAGAGAGCTGGTTGTAAGTGCAAGCCATCGTAAAACAGGTAGGTCGTAAACCAAGGACCACCTGTACTGTTTTACTGTGTGCTGCATATATATACTTTTTTATGCTTATTAGTTACATATAAGGCTACTAATAGTTGTTTTTTTTATATTTTTTTATACAATATTATTGTATATAACAAATTAGGGTGTTCCTTCAATTGATATCGTTGACATTATGTAATGTTAAAGGGAAGCTAACTAAGATAAACAAAGTCGCTATTCCTAATTTTATATTGTGAGCTGCACATTCGTACTTTAACTTATAGTTAAGGCGCGCACACACACACACATTATATATATATATATATATATATATATATATATACACACATATATATATACATATATATATATATACATACACACACACTATAACACATAGCATGCATCTTATACAGATTTTGCACACATCACATACAAGAGCGCACACATGCTTGTTTGTTTGCTCTTTACATATATTATTTTTATATCTACATTGTAGACTGCCATTGTCAAGTTACGGGGAGGGGACCTTCAGAGGTTAATGCAGTTTAAACACACTTTTCTTGCCAAAGGTTTATGGACTATTGACATATCTCACCAGTGAATTTGCTTACATGTTAATCAACATTCTATATGGATTCTAGTCTTGATCAACAATTCGTTCTGCTGGAATGGATTTAGCCAACTCTGCACATTTCTGCTGCAAAATAGGCTTGCTCCTTGGAATATAGTTTGAATTTTGATGAACTAGAGGAAACTACTGTCAGTATTTTAGCAAATACAAAGATGGAAATGAAGGACAAAAAGGCAGTCTAAACACAGATATGTTTTATATGTCACTCAATGCTAAAGTGCATACATGTGGTTTTTGTAATTAGCTTAAATCGCATATATCATTTTCACGGTTAGAGAAGAATTAAACAAACTTGAATCATTTATATAGACTCAGCATTCATAAGGGTGTCTGCTGGGGCACATTAAATGAGCTTTATAATTGTAATGCAGCAGTATAGCACACATTTCATTTAATAAGGCGGTCAAACATTCGGGGTGAAAACCCCCCCAAAGATTTTGAGAAACATAACATCTGGTTGAAAATGTGTGCTTTGAACAGGATTTGCTTGCAATGCATAAGTGCAGACACTGCAGGTGTTCAAATTAAATGTTAGCCAAGGGTAGATATTAGAGTAACATGATGAAAGCATATATGATTATTTGTACTTGGGTTTTAAATAGCCTTAATCAGCTTTCTACTGGTAGACTTCAACTTGTGCAACACTGGTTGACATAAGGAAAAGATCCACTGTACAAAGATATGAAATATTTAATAATAAAAATTTTTTAAAAACACACCAGATTACATACATAATGTGAACACATTAACTACCCCATATTGAAAGTCTTTGGCACCAGTTTTGAGAATTGAACATCAAAAAACTGGAAAGTGCAAGAGACAGGCTACAAAATGGATCCTGCAGCCTTTTCATTAACAGGACCAAGCAAAAGACAAGAGGTCTGCATTTAAATGGTCAAACTACTTCATCTCCGTTTAGTGGTTGGGGTGGTATGTTATCCAATATTCTGTAGGCCATTTTAAACCTGCAATGTAAAACATTGAACTAAGAGCCACTAGGGAAGCTTTCATTGAAATAGCGGAATGAAACTTGCCACGGCGCTGTGTTTTGCCACACAATTGGAAAGAACTGGATTCGCAGAGGTCATCAATCTTGATGATCTCAGTCATGAAGTCAGGACAGCAGCGGGGAGACTGGTGCTTTGAGGGAGAAAAAGATAAGTAAAACAGGGGGGAGTTACAATATAGGGCTTTCCCGTTTTAGTTTGCCAAATGTCTTTGCTGAGCCTATGTTGCCTTTGAGACCACATGGCAGCCCAGGAATGAGAATTACCTCCATCATGATACCATTTGCTAAAGTAGACTACCCAGGGTATTCAGAATGGGGTATGTCCAATCTTTTTTAGTAGCCACTTAGTCACAAATCCTAGCCAAAAATAGTGTTTATATTTTATTTATTTTTTTTTCACACAAAAACTGAATTTTTCCTGATGAGATCATCAAAATTACAAGTTTTAGTGTTTAGAACACTAATAGCTCTGTTCAGCGAAGTCTCACAAGTACAACAGAAGCCCAATATGTACAGGTTTCATGGTGTTTTCATAAGTCACAGGGTTAAATATAGGGATTGCAAATTAAATTCTCTGGACTTTCTAGGTAGAGATGTCGCGAACTGTCCGCCGGCGAACAATAGTGTGTTCGCGTTGGGCGAACATATCCGATTTCCGGTCCGCCCCCCATACGTCATCATTGAGTAAACTTTGACCCGGAACCACACAGTCAGCAGACACTTCCTGGGAGGGAGGGTCTGCTGCTGATTGGGTGGAATGTGTCTGCTGGCTGTGAGGTTCCGGGTCAAAGTTTACTCAATGATCTGCTGCTGATTGGGTCATCATTGAGTAAACTTTGACCCGGAACCTCACAGCCAGCAGACACATTCTGCTGTGTCTGCTGACTGTGTGGTTCCGGGTCAAAGTTTACTCAATGATGACGTATAGGGGGCGGACCGGAAAACGGATATGTTCGCCCACGCTATTGTTTGCCGGCGGACAGTTCGCGAACAGTTCGGGACATCTCTATTTCTAGGTCGTCAGGCAGGTCCCTTAAATAATTATGTGATTTTATTAATTATAATGTAAAAATGATAAAATAAAATAGCACACACACTATATATTTTATAATTCTAAGTGTATTTTGAGATTTTATATATATATATATATATATATATATATATATATATATATATATAAAAAGGTTGAGCCGTTATGCAAAGCCTTGAGTTGTGAGAGGAGTTACCCGGCCTATAAATACACTGACCTACCCTTCTTCTGGGCTGAGACTGGCTGGTTCAGCCTACCCGCCACTCACTTTATTAAACCATTCATCTTGGTGGGCCCCTCTTTTACAGGCCTACCCGAACGTCGGTTCCGGCACACCACAACCGACTTACACCACCATTACTATAACTCTGCTTATTGTATACAACCACAAATATATATATCTTATAAAGAAGTTACACACATATATATATAACAAAAATGTAAAGTCCAGTACTGCTTGTTCGTAAACCACTGGGGCTTTTAACAGTAGTGTACAGAAACAACATAGGAAAACCATTGAAAAAGGCGCAAACTTTGTTTATGCAGCTCTAGCCATACCTCCCCTGTCTAAATTTCACACAGCCTCCCCATGTACGTCCTGAAAAAATAAAAATGTAATATTTTAGTCTAAACAAAGTTCGTTGAATTATAGAATTTCGTATCACCCGCTCTGTTGATTGACTGGCCAGCTCCCCCTTTTCCCCGAAGACCAACATCCCACTTAATGCGATATCAATGTTGTAATATATGTATGAGTAACAGCCAGGGCTGCATAAATAGAAACAACAGAAAAATATATCTTTGAATTTACCACAGCCATGCAATATTAATGTGCATTTCAAAATGTTTTTGCTTACTGTGTGTTCAACATTACAAAGAAAATAAAAGTTACCAAATAGACTACATGAGTTTGAAACAGACACAAGACAACAGAACACATTATAAAGCAGTATTGGGTTATACTAACAAAAAAATAGCCCTAAGTTTAAAAAGGCAAATACAGTTTAAAATATGCTAGAGAGGTCACGCAGCCCTGAAAAGGTCAATATTTTCAGTCAATTGTTCTTTTGGAACAGAATCCTACAAAATGACCAACTTATTTTCCTTCAAACAATCTCCCCCCTTTCAACAACAAAACTGTGATAAATCTAAAACTTGCTCTGACCATAGCTGTGTGCAACATATTTCAGACTGTGTACTTATGGAATTATTTAAAACTCTATGAAACATGTATGAAAATCCATATTAATTCTGTCAAACATAATTTTTATTGTTTTTTTTTATTCATAAGATTAAAATAAATGTAATAATATATTAATATATTGAGATCTTTTAAGTTTAGCTCTTTTTTAGCCTGTGTACATATGTAAATATATAGATACATACACACACACACACACACCAGCTTCTTAAAAATTGCTTTTTTTTTTTTTTTTTAATCAGAGCACATAATTCTTGACTGTGGTATAATTAGCGGCCGTTTTCAACACCCAAATTATTCTAACAATCTAATGTAATATCGCTTTGCTTCTTTACTAAACCAGCATGGGGGAGAGTCACGGGCTGCCCTATTGTGTCGGTATTGGCGACTTTTAATGATGAGCTGTGTGATTTGGCCCTAATACAATCAAAGCAAAAAAATAAAAAATTTAATGATAAAAAATAAATAAATTTAAAATATATATATATATATATATATATATATATATATATACAAACATACACACACACTTTAATGTACACGCGGTAAGCACAGCTAAATACAAATTTTAATAAAAATATGCATATATTTTTGTAGCTGAATATGTGCACTTGCTTACTTTTTGAATCCTCTATTGCTTTTAAAAATGTATTTAATGTTTAGTGCAGATTAATACTGCAAGTCACTGAAAAGCACAGAATGTGAGAGCTGCAGCTTTAAGTGTCGAAACATTGCAAAAAAAACAATCAATTCTATCAAGCCACGCTCGGCTTGAAATCACAGTTAGTCATCCTTTAAGACCTTTCACTAGCTTCTTCCAATCATACCTATTTAATGCCAAGCCTGTGCATTGTAATTGCGAGACTAGACATCTGCAGTTAACCCCCAACTAGTAAGAACAAAAAGAAAACATGAAATCGATAAAATTATTATTTATTTTTTTTATGAAAGATCCCTCTAATTTAAGCTGAAAAGGCCATTTCATTTTTATATATGAGGAGAAAAAAGGAGAAAAAAAAAAAAAAAGAAAAAAAAAACCAAAACCTTCAGCAACTGACATTTAGCCCAAGATGTGATCTTACTTTCCATTCTCTCGTCCCAAGCAATGAATATGCTTATAGTGTGATAGAATCTTTCAGCTAATGCCTTTTTAATTTGTTAAGCCCAGAAAAACCAGTATGCGTGTCTAATCCTCCAGACAAATGGTCATTAGTAGACCAGTCTGTCACATGTAGGTTGTACAAAAGGTAAAGCACTACTCCCCCACAGGCTATGTATAAGTAAATCGGACCCAAAGCTCTTACACAGCTAAAATGTCTCCTCTAGATGAAGATATTTCCAGGTTGTATCAGATTGCTTCTTTTAAGAGAGCAACTGGCAAAATACTTCAATAAGCAGAGAAAAAGACCTAACCAAAGCTATGACAAGTGAGATTACAGTTATTGTGTATTAGAGAGAATCCAGTCAGCAGGGATTAAAACTTGAAGTCCTATGCTACTAGCCAAGCCTTACTCGCCACTGCATATTTACCAGGGGTGAATTTATCCTTGTCCAATGGCAAGTCATGTGTGGAAATCTTGAGCCATGCAGTCAGGACTTACTTCAAGCAGCAGTCTTCCACGGCGTCTCTTCAAAGATCCAAAATGTTGTGAATGCTATTTGAGTACCCAATTGTAGCCACCATCTTCCACACACAGTAAAGATAATTAGTCAGTCAGATGATGGTCAGCATTTTACAGTGTTGTTGGCACTTTAGTGTATTGGTGTTTTGTTATGTCCTGGCTCATACGGCTATCTGTTTTGGTATTTCTGACCCAGGCTAGCTTTTTGGCTTCTGATCATTTCTTGCATCCAGACCCTGGAGTTGTTGTGGACTACAATTTTCCCTTAGAGAATTTCTTGTATTTTACCTCAACTAAGATTTCTATACTAAGCTTGGCCAATCTGGTAATATGTATCCTACATCCATATGTTCTTGACTGCTGTGATAGGTCTGATAGTAAACAAACATTACATAAACATACAAAAATGGTGCCCAATATATGGCTACTGTCTTACAAAATCTGCACTGTGGAACTTTATAATATCAACATTAAAATGACAAACATTCATTATGCTAAATTTCTAAAACTGCACTGCAATTTACCACGTGTGCAGTTTTATCAGTCTTCTAGTATATTCCATATGAAATAAAGTTGTATTAATACACTTTCTAGCAATTTGGTTGCCAGGCAGGAATCTGGGTTTGAGCAACAAGCATTGTGAAATGCACATGAGTTAACGGGTGTCTCGCTGAACTGTAAATGTGCAACAACAAAAAACATCTCCAATTCCTGTTACTTTTGCAAGCAGAATGTATTGATTACAATATGTTCTTGTTATGTAGGATTTCCACAGTATTCCTAGGAATCATTATTTTTATCTTGTTAAAACTCACTTAAGGAACACTCCAGGCACTAAAAAATGTTTTACAGAATGCTGCACCATAAACCTGTCTCTTCAGTTCCACCCCCTCATTCCAGAAAAATAATTTATCAAATAGGCATGCACACAGCTGAGCAACTGACAGTACTGAATGATATGAACTACAAAGCAACCTGCATTAGATTGAGATGACACCCAAGAAGACATATAGAAAGGATATCAACTACGTGTTTGTAGTTTCTCTGACTTTCTGCAGCCAGGTTGTGATTTTAACACAGCTCATTCGGTGATGTGAGGGGCTGAGACGGTGTGCATACCTTTGATAAGGAATGCTTTCTAGGACAAGGTGGTGTGGCTATTGAGCCAGGCTTGTGGTGCAGCATTCTGCAAAACATTTATTGGTGCCAGTAGTGTCTCTTTAAAAAAAATAACAGCTAAAAGTGGGTACTCAAATGAGGGCCTTGCGGCACACTTGATGCTTAACTACTCGCTTCGAACAAACCCAGAACCTCATTGCTTGTGTCATAACTTAAAACAATTGTTAGCAACATGAACATGATGTCATCACTTATGATGTACCAATCGACTGTTGCCTTGAATGTACAGTCTCCTCTTATTACCTGCAGTCAATACACAAATAATTTAAAAATGACAATACAAATACCATAGAAGGAATGTGGAAAGAGGCCACTTTTTATAACCTGCTAAACTACAAACCATCTGCTCTTCTGTCTCTCCATAGCTTCAGCATTATAGACCATAAACTGAATCCACTTACCTGTGGTCCATAGTCCAGAGACTAATAGTATGTCATTGAATGTGTATCTAATGACTACATAGCTTGTAAAATGTCTTATCCAATAAACACTTTCATTATAAAAAAAATAAAAATAACAGCTGCTAAAACACTAGATATATCATGAGATAGTAAAAAATAATCCAACGACCACATGTCAATCACATGGACATCTTCTCTTCTATATGGGAACATTTTGTGAGAACGAGTAACCAAGGAATTTATAAAACCAGAAATTGTGAAGAACTCAAAACAGAAACACAACATTTTTTTAATTTTCCAATTCTGCTACTGCCCTCTAATGTGAACCCCTTAATAAAATAAATGAATGAATGGAATTAACAATTCCTACATCCCAGATATAATTTATTACTAGTCCTTTTGTTGTTAAAATATTTAGCATTTAAAAGCTACTGCTATGTATTTGAACACCTTTTGTCAAAACATTTTGTACATGTGATACTGATTAAAATCTACAGATTAATTTACGGAAGTGGCATAGAAAGCATATTTAGGTTACACTGGATGAAAAGTATAGTATAATGCGTTTTTTTCTGTATAGGTTTTTTACTATTTAATGGAGAACACCAACATATACCACAGTGCTGTTTAATTGATGTGATATGTACATATCACATCGATTATAGAGCAATATGGTATATGTGTTCTCCATAACATAATAAACACCTATACAGAAAAAAAAAAACATACTTCAAAAAGAAAAAAAAAAAACTTTAAAATCAATAAAATCACTGAAAATTACCACTTGATGAATATGTTTTGTAAAGAACTGTTTCTTTGCTTTCAGCAAATTGGCATTTAGATGTGCAAAAGCTTTTCCCCAAGGTAAAACATTTCCCTGAGCAGCTTCAGAAGCTGCTCAGGGGAATAACTCACCTCTGCCACAGGGAAAGAAAGAATGAGGGAAAAAAACAAAACCAAATAGAAGCCATAAACACTACATATGATTGTCATTCCTTGATCCTGTTCCATCTTACATTATAGCAAGGTATAGCAAAGCAGAAATATTAGACTGGAATTTCACACGTGTTAGTTTAGTGTGTGAGGTATCTGATCAATTATTTAACTTCAACTGAAAGATTTTAAGGTCACAGTTTAGAAAACAAAATAAATATGTTCTAAGCTGTTAACCACCGCTATTGTAATACTTCCTTGTCTAGGTCCAAACTCCCACCTGCAAATTCTTGCTACCTTTACCTTTTCTCACTTTGGTCTTATTTATAATAATTTTACCAGGAACAATGCATTGATATTTCTCTTATTTTCAAAGACTTATTCTGGGGAGCATATTTAACATGTGACAAAGCACAATTATAAATACTTTGTTACACATACCATAGACATATACAATAAAATTATGAGTGAGAGCAGTTTCGATTGAAGATATATGGATGCAGAAGTTTTTAGGGACTTCACATTGGTGGCAGATTTTATATTCTCCAGAAGGTTATTTCAAGTAAACAAGGATCTAAAAGAGAAAGCTGCTCAACAATTCTTTTTGAGGTCAGGGATGAAAAGTAAGGAGCAGGAAGCAGAATGGAGGACTTAATGTTGATCTGATGCAAATGAGGAAAAGGGCAGTCTCGCAAGATCCTCCATAGACCGTGTTATATTCTCATACATGTGAGAGAGTCCAGCACTTATTGGGCCTCCTAGGATTTGAGCCCTAGGACCTGGACAAGATCCCACAGATGTAGATGGCAGCAGCCAGGAGAGACAGTTTCAGGCAAGTAATACCTACTCTTCACCTGAACTACTTGTCCTCGGCACAGCAAGTGGCAATGCCACCATTGAGTGTCTTTGCAAAGACCCCACAAGGTGACAGAGCCACTTTAAGGGTAGTAATGATAGTGAGCAAGCTTCTCTGGTAGTGTGGGTGTTTCCAGAGTTGTTATAAACCAAAAGAAAGGCAACGAGTATGACAGTTAGACCTATTTGTTTACCTAAGTATCTGTGCCATATTAATTTATAATAAGTTTCCTGTAGAACTAAAGATCCTTAAGTTGTGACTGTCTTGCTTAAAGGGACACTCTACTGCCCAAAACATTGGAAAATCACTGTTTAATAGATCTACTCTCAATTCATACATGCATGCATTTTTCATGCATATTTTCATTGGGAGTAAATCTTAAAAGAGCTTGCAAAGGCTGCAGATCTTATGTACTGCAGCCTTAGCAAGCCCTCCCCTTTTCCCCCCTGAAGTAACTTTACAAGTAAATACCCAATCAGAGGCTTCTCATTGAAAAGTCTCAATTTAAGATTCTGGTGCTTACTTACAAGTCTCTACACAATGCTGCTCCAACATTCTTATCTTCCCTAATACACAAGTATGTCCAATCTAGGCCACTGCGCTCTGCTGAAGACCTAGGTCTATCCTCTCCATACTCCCACCTCTGATGCTTGCCTTCAAGACTTCTCCAGGGCTGCACCATTCCTTTTGGAACTCCCCTCCCTTCGCCGTTAAACTTTCACCCAGTCTCCATTCCTTCAAGAAATCATTAAAACTCATTTCTTCAGGAACGCGTATCAATTAAACCGTTAACAGCTTTTCCACCTCGCACACTGAGCCTTCAGTGAATACTTTTCTAGCAGCCTACATATCTACCTCTAATCTGCCCCTTTATGTCACACTATACCCCACACCCTCTAGCATGTAAACTCACTGAAAAGGGCCAACCTGTCCCTGCCCGTGAAACTTGTCTGGTTACAACTATGTGTCTGTTAGTCCACCCATTGTACAGTGCTACGGAATTTGTTGGTGCTTTATACATATAAATGAAAATTATTAATTTTTATTTTTTTTAAATGGTACCTTCGTGCACATGCGCAGTCTCGTGCACGTCCGGCTGTCTGATGTGGCCTGGAGGAGGTGATCGTTGGTCTATGAGGGAGGAGGCAGGCGCACTGCAGTAGAGGGCGCCTGCCATTTCTGTTAGCTCAGGGGAGCTAATAGAAGGAGGCTGCAAACCTTCCTGCTGAATACACGCACATACTGCATTGAGGGGTGTACTGTATGTGCTTGTGTGTGGTGTGGTGTGCTGTGTGTGTGTATGAGGGGTGCTGAATACACGCACACACACATACTGCATTGAGGGGTGTAGTGTATGTGAGGGTTGCTGTGTGTGTGTGCATGAGGGGTGGTGTGTGTGTGTGTGTGTATATGAGGGGTGCTGTGTGTGTGTGTATGTGTGTGTGTATGAGGGGTGCTGTGTGTGTGTATGTGTGTGTGTATGAGGGGTGCTGTGTGTGTGTATGTGTGTGTGTATGAGGGGTGCTGTGTGTGTGTGTATGAGGGGTGCTGTGTGTGTGTGTGTATGAGGGGTGCTGTGTGTGTGTGTGTGTGTGTGTATGAGGGGTGCTGGGAGTAAGGGTGCTGTGTGTGTTGTGGGGGTGCTATGTGTGGGGGGTGGTAAGGGTGCTGTGTGGGGGTAGGGTGCTGTGTGGGGGGGGGTGCTGTGGGGGGGGGGTGCTGCTGTGTGTGGGGGTAAGGGTGCTGTGTGGGGGGTGGGTGCTGTGTGGGGGGTAAGGGTGCTGTGTGGGAATAGGCTGTGCGTGGGGGGTAGGGCTGCTGTGTGTGTGGGGGTAGGGCTGCTGTGTGAGTGGGGGTAGGGATAGGGAGGGATGCTGCTGTGGAGGGAGGGGTGCTGTGTGGGGGTAGGAGTACTGGTGTTTATATTTAAAAAAGTATGCTAAATCAGTATCCCCCACTCCCTCCCTCCTTACCTTTAATGAAGGAGGGGGGGGAGAACACAGCCATGCCTGGTGGTCCAGTGGTGGCAAGCACTGCTTCCGTGTCGGGAGGCAGGGGGAGGGATCTGTGAAGCAGCTCCCCTGTCCTCCCGCGCGAGGCTGTGTGGAGCGTTGCCATGGTAACGCACGGCAACGCTTCACACAGCTTGCTCGCGGGAGGACAGGGGAGCTGCTTCACAGATCTCTCCCCCTGCGTCCCGACACGGAAGCAGAGTAGGCGCCTGCCGTTTTGGGCAGGCAGGTGCCTACTCTGCATTGATGGCGAATCTATGGCCACATGCCCACAGAAAAGGCCCAGCGTGCCACCTGTGGCACGTGTGCCATAGGTTCGCCATCACTGTTACAGAGGTTAGGTGACAAACTGGATACAAATTAAGCAATTGAGATGGCACACTGGGGAAGGAATAGAGAGATAAGAGGGCAGTTTTGGGAGGGATTAGGGAGGATAAGTGGCAATCTGGAAAGGGATTAGGGAACTTGTCAGGTCTTGGGGGAATGAGGATGTTTAGGTTGCAGTTTGGAGAAGGATTGGGAAGGGTATGAGGTAGTTTGTGGAGAGTACATGACAGACTAGGAAGGAATTTGTGAGAAAATGTGGCAGGTACAGACACAGAAACTTACCCTTGTATCAGCGGCTCCCACCGCTGACTTCTGTTTGCTGGCTCCTGCGTCAGAAGGCTCAATAGCGTGCCGCTCCTACCTTGAGCCAGCTCACAGCAACAGGCGCAGCCCTGGTGCAGGTACACTGAGCACTAAAGCTCCGGTTCGCACTGTATATGCGAGCGCCTTTACTTAAGGGTTGAACGTTTCTAAAACAGAGTACCCGGCCAGCCTCCACCTCCCGAAATCCCTAATTTTTAAAAATGTTGGGCAGCCTTAGAGCCCGCTCCGTCGGATGGGCTAATAGGGGACAAATTAAGATATTTTATAAGATAACAGGGGCGGGAAAATGTTGCCCCTGTAAGAGTGCAGCCTGGAGCCGTAGTCCCAACGGGACCTATGGACAGGCTGGCCCTGCTTACAATACACTACCACAAATTTAAATTAAATTATAGATGCAATCAAAATGATGCAACCCCCATTGAAAATCAGGTTTATGGTCATAATTTACAGACTTTCAGCTGTTCGCAATGAACAAAAGCAATTGAAATAGCTCAACACAATAAATGCTTTACGTGGTTTACCCAAATTCAACTGAAAATGCAACTTATAAGGAATTACTCCACTGTCTGAACAGAAACCCTCACAACAGGACAAATATGCAAAAGCAGTGTTGTCTCAAGCGCACGTGATGCAACTAATCAAGGTCTTCATTAGTTGCACCAGGTGTGCTTGAGCTGGAACACTTAAAATATTTGAACTGGGTTTGTGGAGTGTCACATTTGACTGCATGTTAGAAATACGGCTAAGTCAAAAGTATGGTCCACAAAGTTAAGAAAATAGATCATTGTCCTTCACAAGCAAGGAACAGGATACAAAAAGAAAGCAGAAGCACTGAATGTTCCTAGAGACACCACTGGAAGAATAGATTGCAAGTTCAAAGTTGAAGAAACAGTGGTTACACTACATAGAGAGGGCAGAAAAGGGAAGCTATCAATGGCTACAACCATATTTCTGTAGCCAGGTTGTGGAAACCCCTCAAATAACTGCACACGACTTGCAGCAAGACTTGTTGGCCTCAGGCAATTTTGAGACTGGAGAAGTCATTGTAAGTTACATTTTCAGTTGAATTTGGGGAAACCACTTTAAGCATTTGTTGTGTTGAGCTATTTCAATTGCTTTTGTTTGATTTGTTCATTGCAAACAGCTAAAAGTCTATAATTTTTTGACAAAACCTGATTTTCAATGGGGGTTGAATAATTTTGATTATAACTGTATGTTGTACAGAGTAAGCCCTACATCTGTGCACAACCCTTAACTGTTGCCTGGGAAACATTAGCCTATGATCATACATTCATACACAAATGATCAATTTTTTTGACTGCACATATTTTATTGCATCAGCAATACACATTCTGTTAGTTTAGAAAACAGCAAAAAACATGTAGCTGCAAAATCTGAAACTATGATTTTTATTTTTGACTAAGCTGGAGGGGCGAGTCATTCTGACATGCATAGGTTAAAGGAACTATAAAACTATATACTGAATGAATTTTGAACAACTCTTTGTTAAAACTAATAAAAATGCAGTGTCCTCCATTTTGGAGGTATTTTCCAAAGAAAAATAAGTCCCTTTAAAACATACTTGCACACAAAACAATCATAATCTTAGATTGACCAGCCTTAAGTATAGGGAAAAAAACAAAACTTACTGGAATGACAACATCATCATAAAAGCTCCATGCCAGAGCCCAACGCATTGTTCGCCCTTGATAGAATTCTGTATAGGCAACTTTAGGGACCTAGGGTGTAAAAATAGGCATTTTAATGTGTATGCTGTATATATATATTTTAACAAACTATTTGGGGGACAATATATTATTTTGTAAATTATTAACTTCACTGGATGAAGGCTTGCATAGAATTGTTGGATTGAAGTCCAAAACCAATTGCGTGGATGAAATTAGACTTCCCTGTTTTAGAACATATATTCTGCATTAATATTTCCCTATGAAAAACCACAAACCTATGTGGTAACATGTAACTGTCACAATAAGGTTCTGTTAACTAGGGTTTCAAAGAGAAGCCACTCCAGTTGGAGTGTTACGCAGCACAAGAGAGCTTGCAAAGGTTGCAGACAAGAGACCTGCAGTTTTTGCAATGGGTTTTAGATATGCCACTCTACTAAATAGTGATTTTTTTCTGGTGATGGTGGTGGGGGGAAAAGAGTTTAAATCTATACAGATTTTTACAAAATGAAAATTTTCAGCTTTTACAGAAAATATAGAACCACAACATACCCCGTGAATTCGTAGCTCTTCCTTCAAAGGTGCCAAACTGCACTTCTTACCCAGCATGCAACTGTACCACCTAGAATAAAATATATAATTGTTGAGTTTTAATTCACTATAGGACAACATATTAGCCAAGGGTAGCTCAGCAGTCACTACATTATGAATAAAATATGAGTTACTGGTTCAGACATCTTGACATTTTTTACTGCAACAGCATGAACATGGAAAACAGAACTAGTAATTTGCATTAATTAATCAGTTTTGGATCATTCTAACATGGCACTATAGTCCTTGGAGTGTTGAAATCAGCATGATAAAACTGATTGCAATTTTTTTTGTTTTAATTCAAGCTTAGAAATTTAGAGCAAGAAAACAAAAAACAAATCAGGATTCTACATAAAACAAAAATAATCAAAAAAGAACAAGTGAACTTATACACCTCTTTGTGTCTGGAGAGCCCCACTTTCAGCAGCTTATACAATAGCGATGGCAAACCTTGTCACTGCAGATTTTTGTGGGCAACATGTCCCATGGTGCTCCATTTAGTTTTCAAGAAAATATCGTTCAGAAATAAGGTGAGCTGCAACAGTCACACATTGAACATGGCAGCAGACACTCTACAATTTCTGTGATTGGCATATCTTATTAATATATCTATGTTACACATCAAAAAATTACATAAAGAAAATCTTGCTAGGTCTTAAAGAGGTTTTGAGGTACTCCTTACCATAGCATCTGATCTTTGACCTGAAAAGGTTATGTTATAAACACTATTACTGATAAACATTAATATTAGAATCTAGATTGAACAACCTTTTACGATTGAATATAGACTTTGAAATGGTTAAATTTCCCAAGACTTTTAACATTATGTTTTCAGATCTTTAAAGGGACCCTACAGTCACCAGAACTACAGCTTAATGTTGTTGTTCTGTTGAGTATAATCATTCCCTGTAGGCATTTTAATGCAAACACTGCATTTTCCCAGAAAATGCAGTCGTTACACTGCCCCCTAGGGACACCTCCAAGTGGCCACTCCTCAGATGGCCACTGGAGGTGCTTCCTGGGGCAGTGCTGCACAGTAGGCAGCACTGCTGTTTAGCTTCTCAACACTCTGCATGGGGATGCTGAATTTTCCTCATTTAAACTGAAGATATTCTAGATGCAACCTACACAAACATATTGGAACTATGGAATATATCTACAGTTATTTGAAATAATACAAATGGAAGATTGACAGAGACATATCCTGGGGGCTAAGGCACTACTACACACTCCAGCTTTCGTCTTCCACATTTACCCACGTCTTCATCCATCTAATCAATCCATACTACTTAGACTAGGCCCACACTTCCCTACGAAAAGATGAATATTCAAAGCACTTTGATAAATGCCATCCATTTATTTTCCTTGTACCAAGAAAACTATGTTCTGAACTCAGTTCTGCCTTCCAATACACAGCAAGAAGTGCACTGGATATTTTCAAGGGTTTAACCCCCTATCCAGGAGGATGCAATCTGTCCAACTGCCCTTGCCAACTAGTTGGAGTCACATCTTTCTTTTCTGGTAGGTTATTTTCAATGATTTATAAAAAGTTGTAATCTCAAGACATGAACAGTACTTGTTTAAGTTTCACATTATGTAAATCTTGCACACGCAATCTTAAGGAAGAAATCTGGTGACAGAAACATATGCTTACCCTAGCTCAGTGAAACATTGGCAGCAGTCTCAAATAATAAGCAAGATATGTACATTGAACAAACAGATGCACTGAATATATCAATACACACACGAACTGCACATGATCTAACTTTGTATTTCATAAACTGTGCAGTAGAACTAATCTTTGTATAGAAAAGGTTGTTGCTTCTGAACAAACACATTACAGAGGGTAGTGTTTGCAGACAAATTGAGTGCTATAAAGAGCTTCAGTAATTTCACTTGTACTCTTAGCATTCATGTTACTGTCTGTATTTTCTGGCTTTATGTGTTCTATTAAAACAAGACCGGGACCAATCTCTTATCTATGCTACAAAAAGTAATACAATAAAAACAAATTAAGTGAAATAATCAATTAGTTTTTTTTTCTGCTTTTTTAAAATGTATCCATTAAAGGCATACTACAAGTATCAAAGCAACTTAATGAAGCAGTTCTGGTGTATACATCACTGCTCCATTGTCTGTCATTTAGAAGTTAAATAAATTTTCTTTGTGTTTGTGTTGTGTTTGTGTATGCTGCCCCAGTCACACCTCCCCTGGCTGTGACATACACAGCCAACAAAAAAAAATATGTTTTTTTTTTTTTTTTTAATGATCTTTAATCTGCACCCTGTGTTTAATTTAGAGTTTTTTAAAAAAATCTCCTGTTCTGTTAACCCCTTAGGGACGGCGGGCGTTCTATGCCGTCCTTAGGGAACCAGCTCTAAACGCCGACGATCGCGGTATGGGGACTTACCTGGGAGCCCAGGGATTCCCCCTCCCCCACCCAGGCCATGTGATCGTGAGGTCCTTGCGAGGACCTCACGATCACATGGACGGCATAGCCAGCAGGGGGAGTAATGACAGCTACTCCCCCTGCTGTCTGAAAATAGTAAAAAAATAAAGTTAATAACAGTTTAAAATAAAATATATACTTAGATCATATATATATATATATATATTTATTATATATATATATATGATCTAAGTATATATATATATATATATATATATACACATATATACATACATACACACATATATACACTGTCTAAGTGTATTTTAATATTAATACATATATAATTATAAATATATAATATCAAAATACATGTACAATGATACTGATTAAATATATATATTTATATATAATATAAAATAAATATGTAAATACGTTAAAAAATAAAAAATATATATGTGTAATTTTGTTTTAACTGTATTTTTATATATTGATATCAAAATACACAAACGAAATATATATATTTATACACACACACATACATATATATTTATGTAATAATTTTACATAATTAGGTCATTTTTATTAATTACAATTAGCGGGACCTGCCTGACAACCCAGGCAAAAAGTTCAGGGAATTTAATTTGCTAGCACTATAACCCTGTAACTTTCCAAGACACCATAAAACCTGTACACGGGGGGGTACTGTTTTACTCGGAAGACTTCGCTGAACACAAATATTAGTGTTTCAAAATAGTAAAATGAATTACGACGACGATATTGTCAGTGAAAGTGAATTTTTTTTGCATTTTTCACACACAAATGGCAATTACACAGACGATATTGTTGTGATACGTTTTACAGTTTTGAACAAAAAAAATATGTGTGTTAAGCGAAGTCTCCCGAGTATAACAGTACCCCTCATGTACAGATTTTATGGTATTTTCAAAAGTTACAGAGTCAAATATAAGGCTTGCATTTCAGTTTTTTCACATTGAAATTCGCCAGGTTGGTTATGTTGCCTGTGAGACCATACGGTAGCACAGGAATGAAAATTACCCCCATGATGGCATACCATTTTCAATAGTAGACAACCCAAGATATTGCAAATGGGGTATGTTCAGTCTTTTTTAGTACCCACTTAGTCACAAACACTGGACAAAATTGGCGTTCAAATTTGTTTTTTGCATTTTTCACACGCAAACAAATATTAACACTAACTTTGGCCAGTGTTTGACTAAGTGGCTACTAAAAAATACTGAATATACCCCATTTGCAATAACTTGGGTTGTCTTCTTTTGCAAATGGTATGCCATCATGGGGGTAATTCTTATTCCTGGGCTACCATACGGTCTCAAAAGCAACGTAACCAATCTAGCAAATTTCAATGTGAAAAAACTGAAAAATGTAACATGCTATATTTGACCCTGTAACTTCCCAAAACACCATAAAACCTGTATATAGGGGGTACTATTTTACACGTGAGATATCGCTGAATACGAATATGTGTATTTTATTGTAGTAAAAGCAAACAGTATTATGACATTCATAAATAGAATGTCACGTAGATCAAAAAAAAATTTAATTCTTATTTTCTCCCATTTTTTTTATATTTTATTCACATTAAATTATGTTTCATACCTAAATATTTGATGTTGAATGAAAGCCATGTTTCCCCTGAATAAAATGATATATAATAAGTGTGGGTACACATAATATGAAAGAGGCGAATTACGCCTGAACAGACATATAGCGCAAGTTCAAGTTTTTGTTTACGTTTAGTTTTGATCACAACATGTACATTTGGCTCAGTCCTTAAGGGGTTAAAGGAACACAAAAGCGTTAGAAATACAAATGTGTATTCGTAACGCTATAGTGTCCTTAAGGTGACCCCCCCAGTGCATGAAAAGGTAGTCAACTTTGCTTTTTTCCCATGCTGTGGTGCTCTCTGGTTTGTCTGGCCTTCATGTCTGAGATTATCCTGATCAATAATCTTAACCATTCAATGCTTTCCAATAGTAAACCACTTGAAAGGTAGTGTGCATGTGTGGCAGAACGCCTCGCTGCGCAAAAAAGATGTGAGACCATTTGACAGAAATTTAGCTGCTGGGTAGTGACTGGGGCTGCATAAACAAAGTGAATTTACTCCTGAATGACAGATCGTGGAGCAGTAAGACTGTGGAGACATGATCTACAGATCAAAACTACTCCTTTAAGGTAAAGTTATTTGGGTGCTTATAATTAAAGATATATAAAAAAACAAAAACATCTGGTAAAATTTTAAAATCCGTACAGCCAACACATAGTTGTGACATATTGCGTACTTTACAGCTATTTCCACGTGTCATTTGATGCATCTAGTTTCTGTATACTGTCCTACTAATAACATTCTCTCAAACCACATGCAAACTGTGAAGTGCTCTTACATGTGCAGAATGCATGGTTCTGACGCAAGACCAAAGGTATGGTTTTCTTATAATGTGTAATTCTTGAGTGCCTCGTCACAGCTAAGCAGTTCTAAATAATTAGCCTTCAAAACCAGATCTCTTTAGCCCCTCTCAGAAAATGGTTTTCAATATCAGTTTCCCTCGATCAAGCTTTTGACAGCTCAATGTACTATTACCTAGCAGTACTTGCCAGGCTGTTCCTGGGAACACAGACCCCTTGGGGATAGCTTTATAAATGCAGTCATGCTCAGGATTAAAGGCAGAGATTCCATCTGTTTACTAATGACAACATCAGATTATGTTTTGCTCACTGTCATTGCAATCCCGGTGTCAGAAACAATACTGTGTCCCCAATTTTTGCTTAATATGACACATAACTGTTAAAAACCTGCAAGACACTTGGTGATTACAAAAAAAATAGCTTTAAGAATTAGCAGCGAGCAGAGGAAATTGTCACAGTGGTTGGGCTATTTCTGCTGTAAAAATGTACATTTCCATTTGTAATTAAGTAAAAATACTACATACTGTCACACAGCTAGACAGACAATATATTACATTTAAACCAAGCACAATATGGCATTCAACATGAGATGCTTGTTCTTGATAGCCTGTTGTGTAGAACCTTAGGGACTCAAATTGTGCCACTACTCAAGCTGCTGTACTACAACTCTTATAATTCTTTGCCAGCTAGAAGTGTTTGGTAATTGTAGTCCAAGAAAAACTGTCAGGACACAGCTGGATATCCAATGCATTCATTTTTATGAAAACAATTTTTGATACAATAGTATGTTACATTATAATTAAATTAGCATTCTATCAAATGGATATGACTTTCCATTCCATAAAAGAACATACTGTATTATAGCAGTAACAAAAATGTGATTTTAAGCCACATCCAGATAAAGAGCTTCCTTAGCACGCCTGTTAACAAACAAGCTTTCAACTAAGGCAAAGAAACGTTTTTTTTACAGTAAGAGCAATAAGGGTATGGAATTCTCTGCCTGAAGAGGTTGTTTTGTCAGAGTCCATACAGATGTTTAAACTGCTATTGAATAAATACTTGCAAAAACATAACATACAGGGATATAATTTCTAATTAGAGGGGTAATAGCTGCTTGATCCAAGGAGACATCTGACTGCTATTTTGGGGTCAAGAAGGATTTTTTTCCCCTAGTTTGTTGCAAAATTGGAAGCGCTTCAGACTAGGTTTTTGCTTTCTTTTGGATCAACAGCAAAAACATACGTGAGCAAGGCTGAACTTGAAGGACGCAAGTCTCTTTTAAGCAATGTAACTAAGTAAAGCTTTTACGGCAGCACCGACACCTTTTGAAAAAGCGTGTGTCCAATGCCCTATCCCAAAAGGTCAAATTTCCACCATCTACTTCCTTCTCACTCACACCAAGCAGGAGGACTATTTGTCATATGTCGACTTGGGAGAGGGATTTGGGTCCTATAGCGGACCCGCGGGACTGGGTGGCCATCTGTGGGGCTACTGCTACGATCTCCGTTTGCTTAAATCGTAAGACATAGGCGTACACAACACTATTGAGGTGGCATCTCAGCCCATTTCAGCTCACAACACTATTGAGGTGGCGCCGACACCCCACTCCTACCCGCTCACCACCTTGCCTGACCCCCCAGCCCCACCACCCTACCTCCCCTTTCTGGGATTTTTGGTTTCTGTGACTAATACTTTTTTTTCTTTTCCTCTTCTCTTTCCTCTTCATGCTATTGATTACTCATCCCTCTGCTTCTTTCTACTTGGCCTTCTGTTCTCCCAATCCCTTGTTTCTCAGGTTCAAGGGGCATATCCCCTTTGCACTGATTTATGCGACCATTATTGAGGAGGGGATCCTCTCACCAAAGGTATAATTTTGGTAGGGTGATGGCCTAAAGATAGGATCCCCACCACTATGGGCTTGCATTTCTTCTTCTTTTTTTCCTTTTCTGTTTATCATTAAGAGATGGTAATATTTTTTTTATCGCCAGTAGCAGCCACCACATCTCCCACATTTTATGTACCTTTTTTGTCAATATATCAATGAGGCTATTGTATCCAGTATTAGGTGTACTATACCTTCCAGTCTCCTGATCCGTTTGTAACTTGGATATATATTGACGTTCATATTGCATACACCTATGCACTCTCCATTAAACCTAAGTGACTTGCCTCTCTTGATGCACGGTTAAAATAATTTTTGTATTGTGTACCTCCCTTTCTTTATTCTGTTTCCCTTATTTTGAAATATCAAAACTTTTTTAAAAATGTGATTTTAATATTTTCAGTTATCTGAAATAATTTTCTGGTGTTTCATGCTACAACAACTAATGTGGAAGCTTCTGTAAACTTTAAGGACTAATGACCACAAAAACCATTACATTAAGATGCAGTGGTTTGGGATCTTACACTGTTACATTTAACAACCCACACAGACCAGGAAAGAGGAGAACAACTACAGTGCACTTGGAGATTGTCGTAGGAAGTGTCAAAGTATATGCCCAATAACTGCAGAAAGAAGAGGAGGAAGGACGTAAATGCAGAGAGAGAAATAAAGTGATTATGAAAGCTAAATTTCAGGGACAATGTTAGCGAAGGTGGGGTGGATACTGTTGGTTTTTCCAATAACCTGTGCACTGTAAGCGACGGTGTGGCATTTGCAGGAGGCAATGAAATTATGCATCTGTTCAAGCTAAAATTCAAAACATAGAATTGGGTAATGGACTGTTGGTTCACCTATCACATTCTATTATATCAAAAGGGATATAAAATGATGTATCAAGCATTATACTCTGGACCCTCTACATAATTACATTTCTCATAGTAAGATCATTTATTCAGGTTTACTAGTAACATACTGAAAAAGCATGTACAAAATACATTGATAAATACAGTTAGTTCACATAGATCAGTCATAAAATGACACAGTTTAACAAACATTCCCATTTTACAGTATAAGCTAAAACAATCTTAGTGTGAGTTTATACTTGTCAATGTTAGAAAGACCTAAGGGGCATGTCCGTTCCATGTAGGGCAAGTGTAAAGGGAGGTATATCTGTTGGGAAGCATATAGATTGCACTGTTCAAAAAGTTGCAAAAAAAAAAAAAAAGTTAAGCAATATTATTTCCGTTATTCTATGGTAATATATTCCCCTTGTGCTAAAATGAAGATTCACATATTGCCTAAGGATTTTATAAGAATACATTGAGGTTTTGCCTCACTTATTAGGTATACCTTCTTAATACTTACCGTACATTGAATAAGGCTGCACTTTGGTCTAACCAGTGATGCCCAAAAAATTCATTGCAGCATTTACCCATGCGTTTCATTGGGAATGTTATAAACTTGTAAAATTGTTTCAATAAACTGATCAAGCATAATAAAATCATTACTCACCGTAACCTTTTCTTAAGCTGAAGACTATCGTGTATGATCCTCTTAACAAACTCTAACTCTCCCCCTTCAGCCATTATCTCTGTAATGCCGCCAGTGTTCACAGAGCTTGGTGGTGGACGATGAGGATTTCGGGAGTTCACTCCCTAAAATAATGGAACAGGAAATTTTTAACTTTAATTTTTAAATGATGATGATGATAAAAGAAAATATAAAGAAATAGAGCTACATTATTTTACCACCTCAACTGTTCTTTCTACATTTTTACTGCTAAACTACAAAAGCCTTATGGTTTATTGTCATACCTTATGTATCAACTGATGTATATTTAGTAAAAGTGGTTTCTCAAAAATGGCTATGTTTTAGATTGTCGGGAAAAAAAGACAGCATCTATCCACAAAAAAAACATATTAAGATGTAGCGATTTGGGATCTTGGGATGTCACGCCAGTGGTTATGGCTTTTGGACTGCCCCTTAAATATCACTGAAATCAGTGTCCCTCATTAACCAACTAAAAAGGCAACCCAAGTGACTTGATTGTTACTTTAATGTTAAACATGTACACACTGAAAAGCAGGTATCCTCTGCAAAAAAACAAAACAAAAACACAACATAAAAGGTTGAGAACAGGCTCTTATCCTATGGAAAACCAATAAGTACTAAACCTGTTTGCCAGTTCCCTCCTGGTCGGGGAAAGCCTCAGTTTGAGTTATAGGACAATCTATATAACTTTGTTACACACACTTTATGGAATAGTTTTTAATATCCAGTCCCTGAGGAAATCACTAGAGAGAGGAAATGCGTAAGACCTTATTTTGTTTCAATTTACTTAAAAAAAAAAAAATAGACATTTTTACATCTATACCCTGCTGTAGTCCCTAAGGCTACATTATTTTACCACATAAACTTATTTCTACATCTTTACTGCTAAACTACAAAAGCCTTATAGTTTATTGACATACTTTATGTATCAACTAATGTATATTTAGTAAATGGGGCCTAAAGATCAGCATTTGCAGCAACCGGAGTAGAGATATCAGGAGTGAAATTAGACCTACAAATTTTTGGGGAGGCATCCTTTCTGCACACAAACAGCTAATTCCCAATATTTACTTGGTATAGTGAAGTGTTGAATCAAATGGGAAATCTACTTGTAGGTTCCTTTGGGTAAACTGATATTTATCGCCACGCACCAGTTGTTTATATATTGGTGATGGGAATAAAATATTTATATATATTTTATATTCATTGCATTTTTTTGTTTGCAGGACTGACAATATCTATCCTGCTATTATTCTGCATGACGTTTGAGACTGTAAGTAGGAATGGTGTGGAGAACCCACAACAAATAGTTCATTCTGATAGCTGATTGACTAAAACACATCAGTATTTATTAGATTATGTGTTAAGTAATTTGTGTTTTTTTCTTTTACATCTTTAAATGGGCACACTAACCACCATACTCATTACAGAGTAAATTCATACTTCCACGTTAGCACATCAATAAACAACCACATTGGGGATAAAAATTAACAGCTGAGAGCACATCAGAAGGACCTTGGGTCCCCAACTGTTTGCCAGTGTAACCTGAGATGCAAGCAAAGGACCCGTGGGACTACTACATATAATTGGGCAGAGCAGTAGCAAGTTTTCCATCAACAAATAGAAAATACTGTACCTTGGCTTCCAACTGGTTAGCAAAAAACGGAGGATTGCACATACAAAAATCATAAATAATCTCGGATTCTTCCTTTAATGCATCCATTAGGAGTGTTTTCTGTGGCACTTTAACCACTACAAAGAAACAAAACAAAAAATATTTGCATGAATGTATATAATGTGTGCACTCTCATATAGCTGGAAATTTCCAATTTGTCTAATTAAGTCTAATGACCAATAAAGCTAGAGGGAGGGTAATCATTTATTTATGATTTAAAAAAATAATTTATTGTGAACAAAAGTGCTTAAAAATTGTACTTACTCCAGAAAGAAAATTATTGTCAATTGAGGATACACTTGGTCATACTAACATTATATATCATAATTTAACTGTAAACACTTTTTTTTTTTTAGTTTCTTGTGTAAAAGAAGAAATCACATTTATTATTCCAAAGAGAGTTCCAAAATCACATTTTAATATAGAGTACTATAGACGAATTAGCCATTGCAGAAAATACAAAAGAGAAAAATGCAAGAATTGCAGTGTCTTCCCAGTAACACGATACACTGTAGTCTGTAGTCACAATTGGAGATCACTATCAATAGCAGAGACAATAAAATATGGAGGGGATCCCATTGGTCATGCAACAGTGTAAACAAATAGGAACTTCAATTTGCAGCCTGGGGTCTCCATACATTATAACAAACACATAAAAAAGCTACAATTCAGCACGGGGTGTCAGTGTGTAATATGGCTTGTGGGTGACTGCCGCTGACTGAAAGAAATCCACGTTTATCAAGTGCTTACATTTTGAGGATATCTGTGTGTCATAGGGTCATAATTCCTCTATAATCCAGATATGTTTAACTTTTTAAATCCAATCTCTTATTGAGGGTGGGTTCATATTTTTCCGAAGTTGGTACAAACTGGTTGTAGTTGTGAAAAGATGTTTCAGTAAAGAAGCCTTACATGTATGCAAAGACTGCGGAAACAGAAAAAAGTATCACTGTGGTGTGAGTTGGTGGAAGTTGTACATCTATGATGGTGTATATGAATGCCAATAAAGGAGTCCAGAACCTCTGGATGACAGCGCACTGCCACCATATGTGAGAAGATGTACCACTGTGTTGATGGCATCTCTAACAGGCATTCGAGGAGGGAAATACATTGTGTAACTAGGTAGGCGTGTAGTGCTATCTAGAGAGTGTTTGTAGTTACTTTCTTGTGTTGTGAGATTATGTGAAGAGAGGTGTATAAATAGAAAGATCTCTCTCCATTTGTCATGGGTGATGGAAAGGTGTAGCTCTTGGGACCATTGAGCAGTAAATTTAGGAAGGTCCCCTTGAGAATTATATAGACTTTTTTTTTATTTTTTTATTACGCTGTGTGATGAGCAGTATTGTTCAAATTTCTTAAATTCTCTTTTGCCAGATAAAAGCTGAGATATAGAGAGTATGAAATGTGTGATCTGGTTATACCGGAATTTTTGCATGGGTGTGTAGAGTTCATTGGGAAATATACAGGTCAGTGTTCTAACCCCAGATTGGGTCAAGATAGACCCAAGTGAGAGGTATGGAGTAGAGTGATAAGCTCTGTAATTTTGCCCACGGAGACCTGGCGCGAAAAAACTGTTTTGTGTTAATGGGTTTAAAGGGGACAGGTAAGGTTAAATAAGGTTGAGACCAGACTGGTAAGGTGAGTGTCAGACTTGAAGTGCCATGGGACCGTGTACATTGGTATTAGGAAAAATGAGCGATCTAATTGAACCCACTGTTTGTCATTATTGGAGTGAGTCCATTCATAGACCTGTGAAAGTATTGTTGCCTTGTAGAACAAGCCAAGATTAGAAGACCAAGTCCTCCCTCTGATTTCTTGCGTGTCAAAAGAGTGAAACGCCCCCCACCCGCCTCCCTGGCTGAGATCATCAGAATTGACAATCTCAGTCAATCCAATGATTTCCTATGTGAAAGAATTGTGATTGGCTGAGATCACACTTCTGATAATATCAGCCAAGGAGGCAGATCAGGGGCAGAAGCAGCACCATCAAACTGGATTCAAGGTAATATTTTACTATGTTTAGAGGGGGCAAGGAGGGCTAGATAGTGTTTTTAACACTATAGGGTTAGGAATACTTGTGTGTGTTCCTGACCCTATAGTGTTTCTTTTAAGCTTTCAGAATAGATTGCATGACTCTGTCCTATCTAGAAAAAATGCTGCAAGGATGTTCAGAGTAAAGACCAAATCACTTTTTCTACCTTGTTCACCTTGATCAAAAAAGGGTTTTTTGTATCACTGCCCAGAGGACAACAATGCTAAATACTGCACAATTTTATTTACAGTCCCTTCTTTCTCAATGCCATAGCTCAAACATAAAACGTATGTCCCTTTCATTGTTGTTGCTCCTGGTATATCGCTGGGTTCTAGAAGTATTGTACATTTGTACATAGACCAGGTCCTGTTTTCTAAGGGATATCCACAGGCCTAACAGCATTAAAATAATCACATCCTATGAGGCTTTTTTTTTTTTTTTTAAAGGGCCCAAATTACATAAATGGCATTAGGGGTTGACAACCCATTCCTCAGTTCTAATATAGCATGACGTCACCAGTCATGTAACATAACATAAAATTAATTCTGAAAAACACTTTTCTGAGACTGTTATCAGAGGGTTCTGCAATCCACTGTGGATGACAGCTCTTCTACAATAATCACTTTATTGTTTCAGTTGTATTGGGTCTGTTGAATTTATACACTAGGGACTCACTAATATGGCAACGGGAATCTAACCGAGGGGTTAAAAATTACTGTACTAAACTATGATATTATTCCTTAATCAATGCAGACAGGATTGTTTTTTCAATTTATAAAATAAAAAAAAAAAAAAAAAAAACCACCACCAAAAACCAACATATTAACCTTATGTATGGCCCTCCTCCACTCTAGTGTTCCTTAATTCCCATGTGATAACCTTTAAGCCAGTCAGAGGTATATCATGAGAAATGTTTGTGACCAGATATGCTTGACATGTTACAAGGCCAAATCAATAACATAAGCTAACAAACAATGCAGGGTGTTGAAACTTAAAGTGGTTCTGTCAGTTTCTGAGGAAGAGAAATGGCTTTTCCATACGTATGTCACTTTTGTAGATAGTTAACATTTTCTTTGCTAAAATATACCTAAAAGATCTATCAGAAAAAAGGCATTTTGTGGCTTACTAAAAGTGTTAAATATTTCCAACAATCGACCCAATTTTTGGTATAATTTAAAGCGCCAGATGGAAATACAAAATAAGATCCTTAACGGTTTCCCAGTACAGGCTCTTACGACTAACCTACAAGATTTAGATATATGAGAATTAAAAGGAAAAGAGACATTAAAAGAGGTATACACAGATAAAAACTTTCCCTAGACTACAATCAGAGTACAACATTGGAAGTAAAGCTATCTTCACATACCACATAGTAAAAATTCTCCATCAGGGTAACAACATCTCAATGAATTTGCCTAGTTAAAGGACCACTATAGTGCCAGGAAAACAACTCTGAAGCGCCTCTAGCGGCTGTCAATGAGACAGCCACTAGAGGCTGGATTAACCCTATTCTAAAAACACAGCAGTTTCTCTGAAACTGCTATGTTTACAGCTGCAGGTTTAACCCTAGATGGACCTGGCATCCAGCCCACTACATTGAGCTTAAGTGGTCTAGGTGCCTATAGTGGTCCTTTAACCTTATGGCACAGAATAAGAAAGGGATGATTCCAAAAGCTAAAAATATAAGAACGCTAGATCAAAAAAATTGATCGAAACCTACACAGTAAATGGAAGAATGACCTAAACATCACTCTCATAGAATCGGACCCAATATATTCACTTAAAAACAACTTGATATCAGAAGTGTTGATCAAAAGCTAATCACAATGCTTTCCCATAGGATTGGCTGAGACTTAAGAATGTAGATCAGGGGCAGAGCCAGCACAAGCCAAACAGCATCTCCTCATGCAGATGCATTGAATCAATGCATATCTATGAGGAAAGTTCAGCATCGCCATGCCGAGGGTGGAGACAATGAATGGCAGTGCTGAGGAGTGGCCAGTTGAGGTATTTCTAGGCTGTAATGTAAACATGGCCTTTTCTTTGAAAAAACAGTGTTTACTGCAAAAAGCCTGAAGGGAATGATTATACTCCCCAGGACAAATAGCTGTAGTTGTTGTGGTAACTTGGCATACACATGACCTGTATGACATGTCATGATTCCCTTTTATTCCAGAAGTTTGGTCCTTAAGGGGTTAAAGATGACTAACACTATATTACTAATCCGTTATGGGGTAAGTAATTTGTTAGAAAGACACTTATTTACACCTCGTCTGATACCAGCAAAGTTTATTGTACGTGTAGAAGCCCTATAAAGGGTTCAATGTGAAAAGGGTTTATAAAATACCCCTTCCTGTCTCACTGGAGATTCTTGGCTGATATCAGCATACCTAATGGCTAGTGTAGGAACTCACCTATTGAGGCTTGCCTTGACGTGGTAGGTGAGCTTATATAATCAAATGGCCATTGGAATAAAACTAAAGAGCCTCCATTTTGTTTAAATGTACATTGGGATTTAGGCCAGAATGCAGGTAACGTTCTCTTTAACTAGGTAAGTGCAGCATTTTTTTTCAGTGAAGCACTGCATGAACAGGCTCTGATCCTGCTTGTCATTCATTGGCATGGTCATCGGAACCCTCAAGTTGCTTGTCACAGTGGCTTCCTGCTCATCTTTCCTAAGACTCTTGGGTGAATACCAACATTTGTGGCATTGATCAACAGGACAGCTCCGGTGGTCTGTGGCACAGTATAAAGAAGCGGGGGTAAGTCCCTATTCATGGAATTTCATTATGAAGGCTTCAAAAAGGCTGTTAAAAGCCTGAAGTAGTGGCTGAACGAGTGTTGAAGTTTGCGGGGAGTTGCTCACGGCTGCTGGCCCCAACTGGTTGACCATCTTAATTAAGCATCAACTTTCCTTTCATTGGCAAGCTGAAAGTCCGGACAGGGTGACCACTCCAAAGCACCAGTGGGGACTGGGATATCCTCCATCGGTCCAAACGGGAGAGGGGCAGTGTGGGGAGACTGGGCACATGGCTCACAAGTGCAAAAGTCAAGGCTGACGATTGTAAACATCTCCAACCTAGAGTGCAGCTGCAGACCACACAGTAGTAGAGCATGAGAGGTGTCCATCAGGTGCAAGCAAGAGCGTGCCAAAGTGTTGGCAGAATGTACCCAGGATTGAGTAGCAAGCTTTTAGCCAGAAAGTAGGGCATTAGTGCACAATTTGAGGCTTAGTAAGTAAATTTCCCCCGGGAGCTCCAGCAATATGTGGCTGTCCCCAGACAAATTATTGTTAATCCAATGCATGATGCGATACACTAACGAAAACTCTTGACGACACAGACTCTCTTACCTATCTGTATGTTGTCTCTTTAATAAAAGGGTATAAAAACAGTTCAAAGAACAAACGGCAGATTTATAACACACAAGGACAAATGCACTTTTATTTTTATATAGAGAGAATTGTTCTTATGCAGTGTTTACTTTGTAAATATTTATATTGTCCAATAAGGTTTTATTTTGAATGGCTTCACATCCAAATTATGTTTGGTTGTGGTATTTGACACAGGCATTGTCCTTGTGTATTATTCCATGTATCCGTGTATTTACCATGACACCTTCAGTGATTTGAAGTGGTCATGGTGTCTGGAGTGTGTATGTGTGGTCTTGAAATACATGCACATATCGAGTTTAACACCTTGGCTTGCAGTTTTTTTTCAATGGGGTGTTCGTTCTGTGAAAAATTTGGTGCACCGATATGCATTAATTAGCCGAGAGTGGCCAGCTGCTGCTCTCAGCCAATAAATGAGAGGCAGGATCAACATTAAGGATCTGCAGAAGCTGGGTGTCAGAGGAGAGCAGATCCGGCACGACTAGGAAAGAGGGCACACCATTGTAAAAAAGTTTGCCCCATTACATGGAAATGGAGCCAGGGTACTTCTACCATCTCAAACACTCCAGTTTTGCTGCAGTGGTTATGACTGCTCTGGTAACCAATTATGGAAACTAGGGCACATGCGCAGCATTCTCCTTGACCCACCAATCATATTCTCTCTAGAGAATTAGAGGTACATAGCCAAACATCAAATAGATTTAATAATTGAGTGTATTTCTGTCAGACAGACCTTGTTGCTGGCACTAGTAAGCATCAGCATTGCAGGGGCAGCATCTATACTACAATATAAAAAACTTTAATAACAAAGTGATTTGGGTGCTTAGCCTGTCCTTTTAAGTAAAAGAAAAGAAACCAAAGTGTACCTCCTGCAATCACAACGGATAGCAGTACCAGTAGAGTTCTGAGTGGCACTTCTTCCTCATTGTTATTAAAAGCAACCATCATGTGGTGTGATCTATGCTCCATCTGAAAGCTTTGTTTTTAACTGTTAACTAAAATACATCCCAACATTTATCAGAAACAGAGAGCAATTGCAAAAAAAATAAAATTATATTTGAAAGGCTCAGTTTGATTCGCGTTTTTTTATTTTATTTTTCATATTTTCTGGGTAATTATTACTTTTTTGTTTCTTCTCCAGCATAAATTTGTGTCAGTAAGATCACTATTCGACAGAGCAAGTTATACATTCCACACAAGGCTAACCAATGATTTATTCACTAAGAGGTCATAAATATTTCAATATGGTAATGCAACAACCATGTTCCTGGAAAGTTTGCAATAAATACAATAGATTTTCCAGTGTACAAGGACATCTGTTATAGTTCCATAAAAAGTACTGCAATGCCACATAGTAACACAGAAAATGATATGAGAACATTGCAAGACCCACAAACTGAAATTCTCAAAAGGAAAACAAGTCACAAATACAGACTTGCATTTAAATTGGAATAATTACAACATTTCTAAATTTATGTCACCAACAATACCATGGCCATTTTTTGGCAACCCTTGACCAAGAGTCACTCTAGTTCAGTCACCTACTTATATTTTCAGTAATTCATATGATATTACTAGTTAAGTCTTTTTTTAAAGCATCACTGCCATTTGAATTTTTCATGTTTTTGAACATTTAGTTGGTTAATGTGTTTTGTTTGCTTGGTTTTTTTTGAAGAGAAGAAAAAATTAAAAATAAATTAAAAATATTCATGGCTACCTGAAGCACCATTGTAAGGAGACAAACTGTTTTTGGAGTTGGCAGAGTGCCACATCCACTACCTCAGACAAACTACCTGAAGTTCTCTGAGCTAAGCTCGGAAGTGCAGGCCTTAGCTTACCAGACAATGAGCTAATTCCTGAATGGCTTATATTTCACATATTACTTTCATGCAAAATAAAATTCTGGAATATGTCTAGACTGCTACTTTTTACATTGTAGTAAATATGGTTAAAGGACATTAAACATTCAATATATAGAGTGACTCTCTCTAAAATAATGCTTCCCAACCCTGTTCTCAAGATGAAAAACGTCAATGATGAAAGAATTACCCCAAGAACCATGAACCCTTCAGTGATTTGAAGTGGTCATGGTGCCTGGTGTTTGTATGTGTAGCATTTTGTTATGAAACGCTGCACATATCAAGTTTAACCCCATGGCTGCAAGAGGTGTAACTCCATCTCCGGCAGTGTCATTAGCAAGAGTTCCTGGTTGGCTAATGTCAATTCTGTGCAATTTATTTTTAACAATGTGCCATTCACTGGCTGAGAGTGGTCATCTGACACATTGGAGAGGGGGGCTTTCTTTGGGCTTCTGTAGCTTAAAATCTGGTAGGGACCAAGGTAAGAGAGCAAACGGTTACTAAATGGTCAGCCCAACCAGGCCAGGGTACTTATAGTATTAGAACCACCATATCGGGCTCATACAGAAGCCTGTGATTGGCCCATTTTGCCAGCTCAGAGCACAAGCGGATACTGGCTAAAGAGTGAGCAGAGTAATAAATTGTTTTTGTTTTTTAGTTTATTACCATATGATTAGATCATTTCTTCTTTTTTTAACCCACCGTGTGCCTTGACTTGGCACATTATGTGGGAGAATTTAATTTATTTTTAAAAATAAGCAAATGATCGATGCAGAGAGGGAGGGAGGATTGGAGGGGATAGCCATTTTTTTTAATGTCTGCTGTGCACACTGACAACAGACGCTGTCAATGCTCCCAGCACACAATTAGAAATAATTCCATATGAGCAGTATTTCAAGCAGAATCACAGAACATACTGACTTCTACCACCATAACCACCTAAAATCACTGAGGAGGGCGGGGCTTGGTGATCACAGAGAGCAGACGCATGTTGGCCAAGCTCCCGCGGCTTACCTGGCATATAGCACACTCGGCTCACAACCACAAGCTGATTTCATCCGTGAAAGGGTCTCGGCACATCAGGCCAACATGGGGAAAAAAGCTAAAAAGCTCAAAGCCCTCACAGGGGAAGGATCCCGCGATATAAGTGGACAGCTGCTTCAGAGTACCTAAATCCGCCAGGGCTTCGGCTGAGGCTCCTTGCAACGGGACCAGATGGCTGTTCTGGAGAATTTGCGGAGCAAAACGCCCTTCCAGTTTGAAGCAATGTAGGTCCTAGTCTGGACTGGAGAACCCTCCTACAGGTCACAAAGACCTTAGGATCTGCAAGCATGACCTATAAATGGGGCCCTTCTCGAGTACGGCTAGCCATTCTCATCAATTTACCTCGAGAATTGAGACTTACCCCATCTACAGAGGCCATTGATGGACTGAGCCACTCCTGAGACATGTCTCAGGTTGTTCCCATCACCCCTCGATCTGCAGCGGATACTGGCTGAAGAGTGAGCAGAGTACTGGTCCCTTAAGATTGAGCATGAGATCAGCTATATTTATAAATGTTTTTTGTTTTTTAGTTTGTTTCCATATGATAAGACCATTTCTCCTTTTATGAGCTCCCAACGTGTGCCTTGACTTGGCACCTTATGTTCCCCTGTTACCCTCCCAGTGCTCCGGGATTATGGAGCAGCCGATTTATAGTTTCCCTAACTGCTGGCCAGAAGTCCTTACTCTATATTTCCCCTTTAACCCTAAACCGGTCATCTAATTGAGACGCATGAGGCTGCGCTACCAGGTCACCATTCCCATTAGTTGCCAACCATCACCAGCCTCCCTGGGTTATAATATCTCGTCAGGCCGTAAATTTCTGTTCCTTATGGTTATCCTTGTGTTCTATTATAACTGGCAGTATACATGACTAGCCTTTGTTTTTCTTAACTTATGTTTTTATATAACCACACACCATTGTTTCTTACGTAATATTAGGACCTTATTCATCCGGGGTGTTTAAAAAGAACTAAAAAAAGTTTTAAAAAAGGATTTATTTTTGTACAGCAACAATCGCTACTTGTATTTTTCTGCCAAATGGGGTACAAGTTGTACTATCTGTTCTATTCTTATTTGCCAGCACAAAATAAAGAATAAAAAAAAAAAAAAATGTAAAAAAATTAATCACTGAAGGAGTCATGGTGGTTGGAGTAACCCTTTAAGAATGTATGGAGTTGTCCAGTTTGTTTTTTCTGTTTTGTTATTGTAAAAAACATACAAAAACAAACAAAAAACAAAACACAAAAATTAAGCAAGAATCGGTCAGCAGCTACACATGCAGCATTTTCTATTTGCTGGAGTCAAACACATGGTCTAATTTAAAGGAATGGATAAAGAGACAAAAACCTTCAAATTACATTCATAAAGTCTTCTTCTTAAATGCTTTGCAGCAGTTTACAAACAGAGAGAAGGAGAAACACTGGACTTATTGGGTAATGAACAGCTTTCATTACCACACAAAACACCAGGCACCCACACAACTTTTTTATTTACCAGAAAATGTTTTTGAATTCTCAATTTATATTTTTTGCCCATTAAAAAACAAACGCCAAAACGTTTTACAGCAGTTTGCAACCCTGCCTCATTTGGCACTCCGACCTTCTCCATTTCACACTTCCTTACTACCTTCATGCTAGTTAGTGCTTTGATGTCACAGGTCTGTTTCTTTTCCTCAAATAAAACGTTTTCAGAAAGCACCACAAAAATGCATGTTAGGTGTAGTAAAAAAGTACTTTTTTTGCAATTAATCTACAGCACTTTTTTTTTAAAAAATGTGTCTACATATCTAGAGAAAAAGAACTGTCCACTGCATACTGCAGTAACCCTTTAAAGTATAGGCACCTGTAGGCAAGTTGTCAAACCATTATACTGAAACAGTATGGGCTGCTTACCGTGGGACAACACCTGGAAAAAAAATAGTTTATACATACACACTTGTCATTGTCTGAACAGATACACAGGATGTTGTCCATACCTTTAATGAGATCTGCCAAGTTATTTTGATCCACATTTTTCTTAGCATAATTAAAGCAGATATCATCCACTTCCGTAGCAAGGAAATACCAGCCATTCAATGTAGCTCCAAGCAAGGGGTAAATGCAAGATGCCCCTGTACCTATTGGGAAAAATAACAAAAACAAGACACCATGTGTGCAATGATGAAAGGGATATATACTACATGCTCTTCATGGGTAAGTAACTGCCCAATACATGTAATTTCTAGCCATTTATCAGGTTTCATAGTGCTTTAGAACATGCTCATGTGCTTGCTCTCGGCCTGTATTGGAAACTACATTTTCATAATAGGATCAATGCTGTCTAACAATAATGGATTCAGAAACAAACGCAGGCCTGACAACTCAGCCTTACCATGAAAACCTAGCTAAACTAAAACTATAATTCAATCTACAGAAATCTGACAATGTATAATTTTACCTTTCCTATTAAAGATCACATTGTTCATTATTTTATTTTTTTTTATAACTGGATACTGGCAATGAATTAATTATTTGTTGGGTAAGCAATATAATTAAATCCGATTTCAAGGAAAGGATCAAGACATTAAACAATGAAAAGAGGTTTATTAAACCAATAAATTGAAATGAAGTTCCCATAATTAAAAAAATGAAAATCAATCAGCACAAATGAGCAAAGGAGGAAAATGATTTAATTGTTTTATTTTCTTTTTAAATAGATGTATGGGAAAATAAAGTAAGCTACAGACATGTCCTTGGAAGACCTACAAGAGGCATTCCTATTTAATCATACAAGCAACTAAAGGATTATTGCTGCATAACTAGTGGGGAAGAACAGGTATCATCCTCTATATTGGTAAAAATATGTCTACATTTATATGCCAATGAAAGAGGAAGTTAATATTCATCATACATACTTCCAATTACTACATGAACAGCACTTAAATGGACACTACCAAATACTTGTTTTTTCCATGCAGTTTCAAATTTTTCATTTTTTTTGTCTGTTTCACATTAATTTTGACTAGCAAGAGCATGCAGCTTTTTAAAATGACTTTGACCTTACATTCCCTGTAAATGTACAATTTAAAACTACAGAAACAAGAGCATGGCATAGTTATGAAAAACTAGTCATTGAAATGTTTTAACAACATTTAATATCCTCCTATCTATTATTGCCCCAAATTGCCCAATCATGCTTATCCTGATGAAAGTTTGCTAGATCAAGCTGAAATGTTTATTTATTTATTTTTTGTCATGTAAGCAATAAAAGCGAAGTTTTATTTTTTTGACAGAAACCTTGGAGTGCTATCTGAATTGAGATGTGTGTGCTATTGCTGACAAGCACCAGGCAAGAAACAGTGGAAACTCAGGGAGTGCAAGATGATATATACATGCATACATACACACACACACACACACACACACTTCCACTGCTCCTTGCCTGGTGCTGTATGATGTATATACATTTACACACACAAGCAGTTCTAGGTTCTCGCTCCATGTCCAGGAATCTTAGAAAAGCTAGCAGTCGTTAACCATGGGGCAAGACAACCAAAGATCACTGGAAAATTACCATCATACAGCATACTACAGTTAATGACGCACTGTCTACAATCCTAGTTAACAATCATTGTTAACAGGAGTAGTCCCAGAAGATTGGAAATTAGCGAATGTTGTACCCATTCACAAGAAATGTAATAGGGAGGAGTCAGACAACTATAGGCCAGTAAGCCTTACTTCAGTAGTGGGGAAAGTGATGGAAACCATGTTAAAGGATAGGATTATTGAACATCTAAAATCACATGGATTTCAAGATCAGAGACAACATGGGTTTACTTACAGGGAGATCATGCCAAACTAATCTAATCAATTTTTTTGATTGGGGAACTAAAATAATAGATATGGGTGGTGCAGTAGACATTGCTTACCTAGATTTCAGTAAGGCTTTTGACACTGTTCCACATAGAAAGCTCATCAATAAACTGCAATCTTTAAGTTTGGATTCCAATATTGTTAAATGGGTTAGGCAGTGGCTAAATGACAGGCAACAGTGGGTTGTTGCCAACAGAGTATATTCGAAGCAAGGTCTAGTTACCAGTGGGGTAACCTCAGGGATCTGTACTCGGACCCATTCTCTTTAATATTTTTATTAGTGATCGTGCAGAAGGTCTTGATGGTAAGGTATGTCTTTTTGCTGATGATACTAAAATTTGCAACAGGGTGGATGTTCCAGGAGGGATAAGCCAAATGACAAATGATTTAGATAAATTAGAAAAATGGTCAGAGCTGTGGCAACTGACATTTAATGTGGATAAGTGCAAAATAATGCATCTTGGGCGTGAAACCCCAAATCGCAGACTAAAGAATATTTGATACCATACTAACCTCAACATCTGAGGAAATGGATTTAGAAGTAATTATTTCAGATGACTTAAAGGTAGGAAGACAATGTAATAGAGCAGCAGGAAATGCTACCAGAATGCTTGGTTGTATAGGTAGTGGCATTAGCAGTAAAAAGAGAGAAGTGCTCATGCCATTGTAAAGAACACTGGTGAGACCTCACTTGTAGTATTGTACGCCGTACTGGAGACCGTATCTTCAGAAGGATATCGATACTTTAGAAAGAGTTCAGAGAAGGGCTACTAAACTGGTTCATGGATTGCAGGATATAAAACTTATCAGGAAAGGTTAAAGAATCTTAACATGTATAGCTTGGAGGAAAGACAAAACTGGGGGGTATATGATAGAAACAGTTAAATACATTAAGGGAATCAACACAGTAAAGGAGTAGACTATATTTAAAAGAAGAAAAACTACCACAACAATATGACAGTCTTAAATTAGAGGGGCAAAGGTTTAAAAATAATTACTTTACTGAGAGGGTAGTGGATGCATGGAATAGCCTTCCAGCTGAAGTGGTAGAGGTTAACACAGTGAGGGAGTTTAAGCAGGCATAAGGCTATCCTAGACTTGAGATAAGGCCAGGGACTAATTAAAAGTATTTTGAAAATTGGGCAGACTAGATGGGCCAAATGGTTCTTATCTGCCGTTACATTCTATGTTTCCATGATCAGGACAGAGAGAGTTCAAGGTCCAAAAGGCCAAATAGAAGATGTAGAGAACAGCTACAAGTACCTGTGGGTACCACAAATACATGGCAACCACGAGGAAGAGGCAAGGTGGATCGCAACATCCAAGTACCTCCAAAGAGTCAGGCAGGTCCTGAAGTCACAAATCAATGGCAAGAAGATCCAAGCAATCAATACATATGCCCTACCAGTCATCAGGTACCCAGCAGGAATAATAACCTGGCCAAGAGAGGAACTGGTCACCATGGATGTCAAAACCCTGAAACTACTCACTATGAATGGAGGATTCCACCGGAAATCCAGCACCCAGAGACTGTACACCAGCCAGAAGGAAGGAGGTTGGGGCCTGATGAGTGTCAAGACCACAGTCCTGGATGAAACACAGAGCATCCATAAGTACATCACAAAGATAGCTCCCAAAGATGAGCTGCTATGGGAATACCTGAGACAACAACAGATAGAGAATGCAAAACAAAGAGAAGGTTCCATGACAAGACAAACCTCTCCATGGGTTGTACCACCATGTGGCTTACATAACAAAATCCTACCAGTGGTTTGAAAAGGCAGGACTGAGGCACTAAACCTAGCGGCACAGGAACTGGCAATCAGCACAAGATCAATAGAAGCTGGAGTCTACCACACCGGTTAAGACCCAATGTGCAGACTGTGCAAAGAGGCCTCTGAGACCGTTCACCACCTAGTAGCCAGATGCAAGATGTTAGCAGGAACAGCATACATGGAGAGACACAACCAAGTTGCTGGGATTGTGTACTGAAACATCTGCACAGAATATGGATTGAACCCAGATGGGAGATACCACAAAGGGTAGTTGAGAATGACAGGGCTAAGACAAGCAAGTGCTGGCCAACCAACCAGACATCGTTGTGGTAGACAAGGAGCAGAAAACTGCAGTCATGGTGGATGAGGCAATACCCAGTGACTATAACATGAGGAAGATGGAATATAAGAAGATGGAGAAATACCAAGGACTGAAAGAACTAGAAAGGATGTGGAAAGTGAAGGCAGTACTAGTCCTAGTTGTGATAGTAGCACTCAGGGCAGTGACTCCTAAGTTGAGGGAGTGGCTTCAATAGATTCTAGGTGGGACATCTGAGATCGCTGTCCAGGAGTGCAGTTGTAGGAACAGCTAAGATACTGCGCAGAAACATCGGACTCCCAGGCCTCTGGTAGAGGACCCGAGAATGAGGAATAAACATTCCACCCAGGAGGGGTGATAAAATCAATTTAAAAAAAATAAATAAAAATTATATTTTATATATATATATATATATATATATATATATATATATATATATTTTTTTTTTTAATACAATGTTAAAGCGGCACTGTCATGCCGAACTTACCTTTCCTCAATCTCTTCCTCTTCTCCCCCTCTCTCAGGATCTGTCATTCTTTTCTTCCTGTCTTCTTTAGTTTTCTTTAAAATCATAAGACAAAGTAGGGACTCTTTGCCTTATGGAGGATTCCTCCGCTTGACCAGCGGAGGAGCAAAGTGTGCTTCATTTCCGCTGGTCAGAGCAATTTTCCTATAATTCTCACCTTTCCTCTGTGTTCCTGTCATTTTACACTAAACTGCCGAATTGCGTTCTAACTGAATGAGAACAGTATGTTCGTTTCTTTTAGAACTCAATTCGGCATTTTATTCGGATCGCAATTTCATTTGAATGAATGACACCAGGGGTGGGGGTCCATCCCCCCTCATTATCAATATGGCCCCCACCCGCTGCCCAGGGGGGAGGGGGAGTACCAATAGGTTCCTCCCCCCCCTCCCCCACCCCCCATTATCATTATGGCCCCCACCCGCCGCCCAGGCTTATGAAGTGGTGTGGAGAGCACAGTTCCCTGCCGCTTCTATAGTTACATATTACAAGGAGGGAGCTGCACGCCGGTAATAAACTGAAAGAACAAACGAACACTGATGGTGTTTGTTTGTTTGGCTGATATTTCTATTCATTCATCTGTCAGGTGTTTCACTAGGCATGTGCGGGAATCTCACAGGCTATCTAGTGTGGGCAGATGACGAGTCCCACAGGGACTTCATCTACCCACACAAAGATGGCGGCGCCCTGAATATAGATCGGGGCAGAAAATAAGGAATACAAAATAGCTAATGTGGGGGGCTTAGGGGCATTTGGGGGTGGCTAGGGGGTCAATTAGAGATGGTAGAAGCCGGGGGGAGGGGGGGGGTTAAAAAAAAACAAAAAAAAAACAGGATTCGGCATGACAGTACCGCTTTAAACAAAACTCTGCACACCAGTCAAGCCGTAAGACTTGCTTTTTCCACAGAAATCACAAATTTGCAGTGATGTCACTACCGTAAAGGATTCTGGGTGGGAATCACATTTTTGCCTCATTCCATTTTAAACATGGATTCCTTTGAGTCTGTGTTTGCTGTATACAACAGCTTTGAAACACAACTTAGGAAAAGATGCAAAGCCAGTGAACCACTCATGGACAGCAGTTTCATTGTTAATGCAAATCATCAGCATGAGGTTGGTTACTGGCTAGCTTTGAGGCTTGGAGGTACTTGCAAAGCAACAACCAAAACAGTTATGGTGGGGGGAAAAATTATGATTGAAAACCCCTTCCACCTGGAGTCTGTGGATGGTTAATACAATGTTAAACAAAAATCTGCACACCAGTCAAGCCATAAGACTTGCTTTTCCCACAAAAATCACGAATTTGTTTGGCCGGAAATGGGGCAAATCTGCCAAAAATTAACAGCTTACCTTTCACACACAGAAAATTCACAGCTTCTCCTGGCTGTGCCCCCAAAAAGGGGAAAATTTGGATAATTGGTAAAAAAAATAATAATAATAAATCTGATTCTGTTGGGGGGCGGAGTCTCACAGCCAAAGCAGGCAGTGGCATGTTTGTGGAGCTCTGGACCACGAGGAATATAATTACCCAATTTTCAACATCCAGACCAGCCTTATTGTGGCAGGATGCACCACTGTTTTACTCGTGAGACAACGCTAAATACAAATGTGTACTTTATTGCAGTAACAGCAACAGTGTGATAAAATTCACTGTTAAAATGCAAAACTAAAAAAAATAACATTTCTTAATTTCTCAAATTGTTTGATTTTTTTTCATATTAAATATGTTTCATATATAAATATTTGATATGAAATGAAAGCCCTTCTTCTGCTGAACAAAATGAATTATAATAAGTGTGAGTGCATTGAATTATAGCTAAACACAAACACAGCAGAAATGTAAAAACAGCCCTGGTCCTTAACGGTAAGAAAATTGAAAAACGGTCTGGTCACTAAGGGGTTGCATTACAGAAAACAAAATCTAGCCATCTAGTTTTTATATAAATAACGGGCATTGTAAAACAGTTTGACAACACTGGAAATTTATTTACCTATGTCGATCCCCCTGCGCAGAACAGTCTTGTCAGAATCATGATAGTTGATCAAATCTTCCACCCAATGAATATAATTGAGTCTCAGAGGAACAGTAGGAATTAACCGTTCAAGAGGTATGTCAATGGTGAGCCCAAAATCTTCCTTTAAGAGGGTGCACGTCAAGGCTCTCACTGCTCCTGGATCCTTGAAGTTTAAACTAGCGTGAATAAAAGTAAGAGTCTTAAGCACACACAATGAGAAACAAATAAGCATGAAAAACCATCTCAAACTTTTTTTCTTTACACACACAGGCTGCTCACTGTTTAGTAGACATGCCCCTACTCACGATATAGCGAGTAGGGGCAGAATTTACTAATACTAAGTAATATTTACTTAGTATTAGTAAATTTGGCTGAAAGACCAATTCAGGTGTTTCAGTCTTTTGGTAGATAGCTCACTAATACCATGGGAATTAGGGAGTTATCTACTAAGTGGCTGCAAGATGCAGCCGCGGCATGATTCGGATCAGAATTTCATTCATTTGAATGAAATTCCTATCCGAACAAAGTCCCGAATTGCGTTCTAACATGAATGGAGAAACGGTTTTCATTCTGTTAGGATGACATTCGGTAGTTTCGCCAGCGTCCTGTCTAGATGACAGGACGTTCGGGAATACTGACAGGAAGCATCGCGAGATTACGAAGGAAAGGTAAGAATTATGGGAATATTTCTCTGACTACAGGAAACAGAGCACACTTTGCTCCTTCACTGGTCAAAGATGGTCAGTACTTTGTCTTTTGTTTTAAAGAAAACTAGAGCAGACAGGAAGAAATGAAGAACAGATCCTGACAGAGGGAGAGAAGAGGAATCGATTGGGGAAAGGTAAGTTCGGCATGACAGTAACGCTTTAAGGTGCGTGTAGTATCCCTTTTACTAGATAATGCCAGAGAAGTAAAATAGAAGAAACATTTTTATTAACTAGACAATCTGAGGCATAATTTTGCATGCATTTATACTGGAACTCCAAGTCCATTCAGCAACAGACAAAATCACTTAGAACCAGGGATGTTGCACCTCCCTACATAGTGGAAACTCTAGTAAGAAAAAAGTAGCACATTTGTATTGATAGAGAAGCTGTGACAGTAATCAAATGCCAAAAACAGAATCATTTAGTTAATTTTAGATGACATCACAGTTTGTTAACAGAATGTTCAGAGAACATACATAAATTCTTAGGAGTTGGACAACCTAGGGCAGCGATGGGGAACCTATGGCACACGTGCCCTCTCTGTGGGCATGTAGCCATAAGTCGCCGGATCGATACGCAGGGCCAGCGAATCTTATGGGGGCGCCGCTGGCTGGCTCAGCAGCCTTAGGCTTGCCCAGGCGGCAATGAAGAGTAGGCGCCTGCCCAAAACGGCAGACGCCTACTCTGCTTTCGTATTGTTGGTGGGTGAGTGGGATGGAGGGCAGTGAGGGAGCACTGACTTATGTGCTGTTCCAGCACTGCTCCCTCCGCTGATGCCGTCTGGATTAAGGAAATTACGTCAATCAGGCGCCGCCAGCCTGATATAATTTCCTGTCTCCCGGCAGCATCAGCAGAGGGAGCAGTACTGGAACAGAAAGTAAGTCAGTGCTCCCTCGCGCAATGGCCGATCCAGGAGTGTGGAGGCAATTGATGGATGTGTTTTTGCATTCAGAAGAATTTGAATGATATGAACAAGCTTAAGTTTTAACAGGGGTATGGTTTGAGACTAGAGAATTTAAATTTTGAATAGCGTTCCATAACTATCTTACAGAGTTCTGTAAGGTTATGTGACCCATAGAAGATTATATGAAGGTTATGTGACCCATAAAAATTTTTTCTACCAGATAATGATATAAAGATGGCATGTGTAACAAATTCTTAACAGGCTAAACTTTATTTGGCCACACTGAATGGTCCTTTTGAGAGAAACCAATCCAGTACATGCAAACATCAGAAGCTAGATATTTGAGAATGCAATATTTCAGGTTAAATAGGAATGCTAAATGTCACATCGCACATAGCAGGTGCCCAAAGTGAACTTTTATTGAATGACAAGTTGTAGAAATAAGAAAAATAAAATTAAATGAACCAATAAGTGCAACTTCTTGATGTGAGAGAAAAATAGAGATATAGATGCTGGGGGGAGAAGGGGAGAGGAGATGCTAGGGGCAGAGGAGGAGCAGGAGATTCTGGGTAAGAGGAGGAGGAGATGCTGAGGGAGAAGAGAAGATGCTGTGGGAAGAGGGGAATATGCTGTGGTTAGAGAACTGAAGATGCTGGGGGGAGAGAAGAGGAGAATTAGTTCCAACAACTGTATGAGGTTTTTTTTCCTAAACTTAAACCTCAGTATTCAGGTTTAATTGCCGTGTTGGTAAAAACTTTGAAGTAAAAAAGTTGGCATGTATGTATTGTGGTTTGGGCACTCGGGCTCAAAAAGGTTCGCTATCACTGACCTAGGGCATAACAATTGGTCACTTACACTAGTACTTTAAGTCTAGAGTACTCTCGGATATACTATGAGCAAAACCTAGGACTCATTACACAAAATGGTTGTGAACAATCTAGAGAGCCACAGAATGTCTTATTTGAAAATATGGTAAATGCGTCTTTCAAATAAACAAAGTTCAGTTATTGTGCCTTGGGGGTGATGTGGACAGTATACCCTCCAACAATTTTAGACGGCTCCACCTTTTCCTAAAGAAATATCACATTGAAATGGATATCACACCACTCTACACATTAGGTATGGAAGCAATGGCAGTGTGACCAGCTGTATAAGCTCCAACCTCCACTTTATAATTACCATAAGCTTTCATTGAAAAGCTGTAAACACAACACAAAGGTTTATGCAATACACAATATCACAGGCTTTTTATGATTCCACTGTACAGATAAATGTGAAACATAATGCCAGCATTGTTGTGAAAGATATAAAACATACCTTGGTTTTCCAGCCAAACTCACAGTTATGTACTGCTTAAATTCTGGATACTTGGAAGACAAGTATGCAAAATCTGGAGGTTTATCTTTGTACCGATTTCGTGGGTGCATGGATTTATTATGAGCCATTAGTTATCTGAAATGACAGTGGGAAAAATTAGCAGAACTGAAACAGGTAGCCCGCCATAATAACTAAATGCAGAAAAATCCAAAACACCATATACATGCTCTGGAGGGTAAAAACATTTAAGACTTATATTTTGTAATTGAGCAATCACATCATTAAAACAGTTCTCTGTCTATAAACCACGCTCTAGCGTAAAAAGATATTTACCGTATTTATCAGCGTATAACACGCACCTCATTTTAAGAAGGAAATTTCAGGGAAAAAAAACTTAAATTTCAAATAAAGAACTTCTTACCCCCCCTCCCCCTCTTCATACTTCCCCTCCCCTTACTCCCCTTACTGAGCGTGCACCTTCCTATCACTCCGGCCGGGCACCGCGGACAGCAGAGCAGCTCGGCCATGCTACAGGGGAGGGGAGGTGAGAACCAACTTGACAGAGCGCTCAGGCGGCTGCAGCATTTAAAGGTCCGGCGTATAACACGCACCCATAATTTGCCCCCTATTTTCAGGGAGAAAAAGTGCGTGTTATACGCCGATAAATACGGTATATAATATTTAGGATATGCCAACTCGTATTTATTTCTGCACATTGCAATCTTAGAGCTTTCTCACTTTCTGGCAGCCATTTTTATGCACCTTTGGTCTGTCTGTAAGTTATTTGACGCAGTACTGGCTAATTTGCAACGGTCAGTAACATTTTCTATCAGGCCACTTTGAAATACTAAATAGTGTGGGTTGCGTCAGATAAATAACAATCCGAGCAAAGGTGCCTAAAGGTGGCAGTGACTGTTGAAAGTACGTAGGGGACACGGTCAGCCTATTGTTATGGGCAAACGCAAATATTACAAGTTTTAGAATGAAATGTTGTATTTCTTAAACTGTGTACTTTGTCTTTAAGAGATATTGCAAATTGACAAGGTGTTAAAAATGGAACATATTGTTTTTCATAGATGTTTCTTTAAGCAATAACCTCAGTGCATAATATGTTTGCACCATTTTGTCCCAGACGAATTACAATAACAATAATGCATAAACAAGCTTCAAGGCTATCCTACGACTCTTTCAGTACACAATATACTGTGGTAACCCCAAGTTAATGGAACGTCCCCAAATCCGGGAATCTCCCACGACTGTGCACTTCCGACTTAGTATAAACAACAGATAAGCTATTTAGACTTTAAGATGCCATCTTGAACTAAGTCAGGAAAATTTACATGACGTATGGACCCTTTAGTTATGGCCTTGTATGTTTGCCAAGTTAAGGGAGGTCCTAAAATGAATAAAGTAAAAGAAGTGTTACTTTTTCATATATGAACTACGGTAACTCTAAAATGACGACACCTTAAGTATAAATAAGTGTACTTTTAAATGTTAAGACACAGATGAGAGACTTGGAGACAGACGCTGCTCCATCTTAAAATGACAGAGAGGCTGACATGATGACATGTTCAGAAGGGTATGTTAACCTATTAATGATATTTGCAAGCATGTAATTTAATCTTATAAACTCTGCTATAATGGATTTTATATTTATATTTTTATATAATAAATATCCAAAAAGACAAAACTATTGCTTCCAAGACAATCCTTATTTTATATTATATTCTCAATTATTTATATATGTTAAATAGAGGATCTCTTACTAACTATATAAAATTATGGCTAAGATATCTGTATGGTTAGCCCTACTAAGTTCTATGCTTTAAATCATTATAGTGGTAAATAAGGGAACCACCTGCGGTTACACTATCACTGCCTGCTACCCCTGGCGTGAATCAGAGCATACTTCCATCGTGTCATAATTGGAAGCCAGGCTGCAGGACATCAAGCACTTCTGCTAAATAGTAAGTATGATGATACTGCCCTGGTGTCTCTGCTATGGAAGGTGTAGCAAATCAAGCACGTAATTTTCCGTGGGTTTCTTTCGCTAGCTTGCGCAGCTAACGGCTTCAATAAGCACTAAGACCCAGTACTTTGAGTCATGTGTCCACTGGCAATGCAGGATATACTGCACTGATAACTCCAGTTCATATAAGACATTCTATCTAGTCCACTGGCAATTCTCTATGAGTAACTGCTCCATAGTGAATATACCTGGATGCTTCAAGAAACACAAGCTCCATAGAAAGAATATGTAGCCGTTTTTCAAATAGCACATAAACCACAGTGACCAATAAGGGACATGAGAGGTGCAGGGTAAAATGAAATCAATTATAACATGGTTAATCTCAAACAATAGAGAGCCTAATTTAAAACAGGTAAATCAATTACAGGCACACCAGACAACAGATAACACTATTAAAATTATCAAATGCTTATTAACAAAAGACATCAGTTACAGGTAATTCCAGACAGAGGGGAAAACAATTAATCTAATAAACAGACCCACTCTGTCTCCCTAATTGTGTACAGAGGGTATGCCTGCATTGCAAGGGGTAAATCATCAACCATTGTCCCTGACTTACCGTATATACTCGAGTATAAGCCGAGTTTTTCGGCACATTTTTTGTGCTGAAAAACCCCAACTCGGCTTATACTCGAGTCAGTCTGTATTATGGCAATTTCCATTGCCATAATACATACTGGGGGCTGGCAGAGCTGTAACTTACCTCTCCTGCAGCTCCTGTCATCTCTCTCCTCCTCCGCGCCGGTCAGGTCAGCACCTCGGTCAGCTCCCAGTGTAAGTCTCGCGAGAGCCGCGGGGTCATAGTGCGGCTCTCGCGAGACTTACAGTGTGAGCTGAGAGAAGAGCTGCACGGACCGGCGCGGAGGAGGAGAGAGCTGACAGGAGCTGCAGGAGAGGTAAGTTACAGCTCTGCCAGCCTCCCTCCTCCCCCCACTGAACTGCCAATGCCACTGGACCACCAGGGAAGGAGAGCCCCCTCCCTGCCATGTATCAAGCAGGGAGGGGGGACAACAAAATAAATACATTAATAATTTATAAATAATAATAAAAATAATAATAAAATAAATAAAATAAAAAATATAACAAAAAAATTAAAATAATTTTTTTATATAAAAATGCCCACCCCCCACCAAGGCTCTGCAACACAAACACACACTGCACCACACACACACTGCATTCATACACACACACACACACACACACTGCACTCATACACACACACACACACACACACTGCACTCATACACACAAACACTGCACTCATACACACACACACTGCATTCATACACACACACACACTGCATTCATACACACACACACACACTGCATTCATACACACACACACTGCATTCATACACACACACACTGCATTCATACACACACACACTGCATTCATACACAAACACTGCATTCATACACACACACAGCATTCATCATATACACACACTGTAAATAAATATTCAAATAATATAATTTTTTTAAGATCTAATTTTATTTAGAAATTTACCAGTAGCTGCTGCATTTCCCACCCTAGTCTTATACTCGAGTCAATACGTTTTCCCAGTTTTTTGGGGTAAAATTAGGGGCCTCGGCTTATATTCGGGTCGGCCTATACTCGAGTATATACGGTATTTACTCTGACACAATGCAATCCTGCAGTCTGCTTTACATTTGAAATTATGTTTTGTACATAAAGCAATAGTGGAACATGGTTATGGTACTTGGCATCTTTGGCAAAACAAGTAAAACCATTGTACCATGACAGTAAGATACAAAATAAAATTAATTCATTGCAATTTTTAAAAAGCTGACCACAGGTGGTTGTTTTTTACCCATGTGTTAAGGAGTATGGCAATACAAATAATAGAAAAGAAAGACAAAAAAAGTAGAATAATCTTTGCAGACAACGAATATATAATTAAGACCATATGTATCTCAGTGCGTAGCCACTCCCTAAACAGCAGGGAGAGCGCACCTATACATTAGAGTCCTAAATAATGGGCGTTTTTGCCAACTTTTACACTGGGCACTGAATGGCACTCTAGCACTATGAATTGCACTTAAACTTTTTTCTTCTGTTTTACCTTTTATATATTCCTATGCCTGTCTAGCTAGTTTACCAGGGAGAGAGGCTTTAATAACTTTAATATATATGGCAGTCTGATTTTGACTGACCATTAGTTTCTACAAACTTTTCTCTATCTTTACATCTAAGTCTCTCTCTTGTGCGGACTATTCTAGACTTTTTCCTATTTATTGGTAAGGTCTGCTGTTTGGAACATTTTTCTTACATATGGCTAGACTCAATAGAAACTAACTTTGCATTAGTATATATTATCAGCAGACATTTACTCCATGGTCCTATACATATATATATGGACACAAGGAATCTGTGGGATTTTGCACTTAGGAAGCTAGTTACTGGCAATTAGATAGATATATGAACACTTTTTCCTATGTAGCATATATATTCTATTAAAGCTGTCATATAGGTGTAAAGGTTCTTGACGTATACATACTGCCAGATCCTAGCTGTGGCATTTGGTGCTTTCCCTTTAGTTACATAGGAATACTAGTGTTTATGTTACATCTACTCTATTTTCATTTGTTTATATTGGAGTTAATCTCTAGTTAATATTACTTCACGCTATACTTCTATGTAATATTTCCAGGTAATGTAGTTTAGACTGGGATTCGTGAGATACCCTAAGCCTACCTGCATTTGTTCTACTCTTTTGTGAATAATCTTTGCAGAATACATAATGAATAAAAATCAGCTCCAACCTAAAATGTGGATAAATCTAATTTACAAAATATAAAAGAGCATGAAACATTGCAAACTGTAAATTATTGCCAAGTATAAAGCAAAGTTTGCTTGACTTTCAAATCCAATACAGTGTTAGCTATGCTGTAAAAGATATTAGGATGTTGGCATGCTGCAAGCATTGTGCAGCAAATTATGGGAAAACCCAAATTACCCATTACTGCTATAAGAACAGCAGAAAACAAAATGTAAGCTATAGTCAGTACCATTCTTAAAAAAGGAACAGTCTACGCTCCATAACCATTATATATATTGATTTGACACTTGCCGTCTGTCAAGCACACGCTGTCCTTTTTTTTTTTTTTTCTTTCTTTCTAAGGAAGCATGACAATCTAATTCTTACGTCTCCATTACCATGTCAACTCATACCAAGTTGATACATTATTCACTAGCTGAGATTGTTTGCAAGGTCAGCATAGCATGGAGTAGTTATGATGCTTAGATTGTCCCTTTAATAAAATAATTAAATGCACAAATGATTCACCATAATAACCGCCACAGTACAATTTAACAGTGCTTTATAGCAACCAGAGCTAGGAGGTCACTCTGCAGATCATAAGTTAATCTAATGATACACTATAGGCACCCAGACCACTTCAGCTCAATGAAGTGGTCTGGGTGCCATGTCCCACTGGTTTCAACCCTGCAGCTGAAAACATAGCGGATTCGCTATGTTTTTATTGAGGGTCAATCCAGCCTCTAGTTGCTGTTTACCTGACAGCCACAAGAGGCCGCTTCCGTGATTCTCAGCGTAAAAAAAAATATATAAATATATAAATATATATATATATATATATATATATATATATAAAAAAATCACACCGAGATGACACTGACGTCGATAGAAAAGTATTGAGTAATGCTTTCCTATGGGCAGTTTGAATGCGCATTCGGAGCCAACAATCGGCTGGGGGAGGAGAGGTCCCCAGCGCCGAGGGAGTCCGGCACTTGATTAAGGTAAGTGGCTGAAGGGGTTTTATCCCCTTCAGCCCAATGGGAGGGGGGGCCCTGAGGGTGAGGGTCCCCCAAGGATTATATAGTGTCAGGAAAACGAGTTTGGACAGCTCTGAGATGCTGACGTGACACTGCACGCACGACGTGTGGATGAGCTGAGCAACGGAACCCCGTGCTGATTAAGAAGGTGCGCCCGATACCTAACCTTGTTTCCCAAATGCCGGAGGTAAAAGCGGCTTGATGTGCCATGGATTGATCGATCGTAACCGGAGGTTCCTTGCAGCTTGACAAAGTCAGCGGTAGCCGCGAAGAGAAAGCAGTACCCTGGGTAAAGAGTGGGAGTGGAGGTCTCCTGCAGCTCGATAAAGACAGCAACAGCTCTGGGGAGTTAGTATTACCCGGAGTAAAGAGTGTGGAAAGAAGGATGGTATATAGCAGAGTACAACAGAACAAAAAGGCAGATTCTGGGGACCGCGAGTTAAAAAAAAAAACAAAAAAAAACAAAACACACCTGTTGGTGAATACTGTTGCATAGAAGTATATACGACTACAATTCTGAGGAACAAAAGCAGTTGCTTATTGAATATCATAAAGCTAATTTAAAGAGCGGGAATAAGGCGGTGAATCAGTACTCAGTAATCAAGACGTACAAACTGAACGACTAAACTGAACTGCTAGACCTGCTATAGAGCTTTAAAGGAAATAAATTGCTGGAAAAAGATTTAGAAAATAAAATTGATTGGAGTTAAGAGGGGAGAATTTGTAAACTGGGCCCATAACAGAATAAAAAGAAGATCATGTGAATACTGCTGCACAGTGCATATCAGTTAAGGGAAAAAAATTAAAATCATATACCGTATATACTCGAGTATAAGTCGACCTGAATATAAGCCGAGACCCCTAATTTTACCCCAAAAGACTGGGAAAACTTATTGACTCGAGTATAAGCCTAGGGTGGGAAATGCAGCAGCTACTGGTAAATAAAATTAGATCCCAATAAAATTACATTAATTTAATATTTATTTACAGTGTGTGTATATAATGAATGCAGTGTGTTTGTATGAATGCAGTGTGTGTGTGTTTGTGCAGAGTGTGTGTGTGTGTTTGTGCAGAGTGTGTGTGTGTGTTTGTGCAGAGTGTGTGTGTGTGTTTGTGCAGAGTGTGTGTGTGTGTTTGTGCAGAGTGTGTGTGTGTGTTTGTGCAGAGTGTGTGTGTGTGTGTGTGTGTTTGTGCAGAGTGTGTGAACTGGGTGGGGAGTGGCATTTTTATTTTAATATTGCGAATATTTTTTTTATTTTATTATTATTTTAATATATATATATATTTTTTTTTTTTAAATATATTTTTTTGTCCCCCCTCCCTGCTTGATACCTGGCCAGGGAAGGGGGCTATATTATTCCCTGGTGGTCCAGTGGCATGGGCTGTGCAAGAGGGGGGCTGGGCATCCTGAGAGTGGGAGTCCACAGAAACTAGAATATGGAGGTGTGCTACTGAACTAGTATTCAACACAGCATGACCTCTTTAAATACAGCCAGAATAGCTCGGACAACTATTGCCGATTGCTGAGTTAATAAGCTATAAATTATATTACTAAACTAATTAATACTACTAGTTGTAGTTAGTTTGAGTGAAGATAAAACACACTGGACTGGAAGTGACCGGAGGGGGGCTGGGAGCAAGCTGTTACTTACCTTTACAGCCGATCCGTTCAGCTCCCTTCTCCTCCGTTCCGGTCAGCTCACTGTGTAAATCTCGCGGTCTGTGTGCCCTGCGGAGCGTTGCCACGGTAACCTGTGGCAACGCTCTGACGGCTGCGGGTCTCGCAAGATTTACACAGTGAGCTGACCGGAACGGAGGAGAAGGGAGCTGAACGGAGCGGCTGTAAAGGTAAGTAACAGCTTGCTCCCGGTCCCCAACAGGACCGCCGGGCTCAGACAGTGACTCGAGAAAAAGCCGACGTGGACTTTTTCAGCACAAAACATGTGCTGAAAAACTCTGCTTATACTCTAGTATATACGGTATGTGGAATAAAGCGGACAACTGTTATTATATATTAAAAATAAGGTAAAGGAGTGCAGCAGACTGTGAACAAAATATTACAGTTTAAGCAAGAGAACACTCCAATCTACTAAACCCACTCTAGTAATGACATCCAGAAAACTTTCAGAGAAACAGGATCAAAAGACTATGTCGAAAAAAGATTGCGAAAAGAAAGATAAGCAAGACTTTCAAATTTTTCACCCAAGGGGCAGACAAAAGTATTTCAGAAAACTCACAGCTAATTAACCCAAATAAAGCTGCATTAAATAAAGAAAAGGGAGATATAAATGAAAGTATAGAAAAAGAGGATGTAGCAGAACTACAAATGGTAACGCCTGAATACTTAAAGGACCACTATAGGCACCCAGACCACTTCAGCTTAATGAAGTGGTCTGGGTGCTAGGTCCAGCTAGGATTAACCCTTTCTTCTATAAACATAGCAGTTTCAGAGAAACTGCTATGTTTATAAATGGGTTAATCCAGCCTCTAGTGGCTTTCTCATTGGCAGCCGCTAGAGGCGCTTCCGCGTTTCTCACTGTGATTTTCACAGTGAGAAGACGCCAGCGTCCATAGGAAAGCATTGAAAATGCTTTCCTATGGACTTGCTGAATGCGCACGCGGCTCCTGCCGCGCATGCGCATTCAGCCGAGGAGGAGAGTTCCCTGCCCAGCGCTGGAGAAAGAGGTAAGTTTAACCCCTTCCATCCCCTAGAGCCCGGTGGGGGCACCCTCAGGGCACTATAGTGCCAGGAAAACGAGTATGTTTTCCTGGCACTATAGTGGTCCTTTAAAAGAGTGCCTTGAGTTACAGCTGGAGCAGATAAAGCAAGAAGTACAGAGTAATTATGCTGCTTTGAAAAATAGATCTAACGAAGACCGCACAAATAATTTAAATAAACGAACAGAAAATTGAAAATCTAGAATTTGTAGCAGCAAAACAGAAGGACATAGTTGAAAAACAACAAAGAAAGATAAGTGAATTAGAAGAAAGAATGACACATATAGAAGGTAGAGGCAGAAGAAATAATTTAAGAATAAGGAATATTCCAGAATCCATTACTAAATACAATATGGAAATGTATCTCTGAATTTCTTAAAGCTCTAAAGATCAATATAATGATAAAGTGGATTTCCTGGAAAGATTTCATCAAACATTTAAACCAAGAATCCTACCCAAAGAGATACCAAGAGATATAATCATCGCCTGTCATTCTTATACTTTTAGAGAGAAAATTCTTAAAGCTTCAAGGAATGAAGGAGTAGACCAGGGGAAATTTAAGGACGTAAAAGGTGTTTCCAGATTTGTCCTTCCAAACAAGGAAAGCACGAAAACAGTATATGCCGGTCACAGCACGTTTAAGGGAAAACAATATAAAATATCGCTGGGGCTTCCCAATCAAACTTATAGTGACAAAAGATGGGTTTACCGAACATTCTGACTCACCTGAAAAAGTTATAAAATGGTTGGATAAGAGGGAGTAGTAAAGTATATAAGTGGAATCTCGAAATGAGACACGAGCATGCACAATAGTATACAAAGTGTAGATGCACAAATGACTATGGTTTTTGAAAAAATTACACTCACATAAACAAAAAGGAGGGTTTAAACACAGTGGAAATGTAATGAAGAGGGTGAGAGGAGGAGTAGAGGGCTGGAAGATATAGGTAAAATTGGGCACAAATAATTTATTAGCATTTAAGATAAAAAAAATTTCTAGAGCACTAGATAGTAGAAAAAGTAGACACTGGATAGATACAAGTAACTCAGGAATAAATTACTGAAAGCTATGAACACATTGATTGGATTTAGGCTATATACACAAATTATAGCATATAAAGTGATGTGAAACGTGTAAGAACAGTATAAGAAAATGAGCGGGATTCAGGGAGTAATAAATAAGTTTGTAAACACTGCAAAAATCTATGGGTTGAGTAATGAAACTATAATTTTCTTTTCGGGTCCATTTGGTAAATTTTACTGTTTTAGTCACTTAGGATACAAGCGCTGCGTAAATGGGTTAAATAAAAGCAGGGGGGTATCACAGCTCAATGTTTTGTTTTTTTAAGGACTTATCCAGATGTGGATGAGATCCCATGTAGGGGTTTTTTTATACATTGGTTTTGTTCTCTGGGAATGGTTCTCGAGGGCAATTTAATGGATGTTCTTCTCTTAGGAGAAGATTAAGTATGTATGTGGTCTTGAATATATGTGGGTATGAAGGAGATACTGAGACAAGGAGGATAATAGAGAAGAAATTGCAATTTAAATATGGTTAAAATTATATCGCTAAACACTCCGGGATTAAATTCCCCATAAAGCGAGCCATCCTGTTTGAATATATTTTAAAAAAAGAAAAGGCTCAGATTAACCCCTTAAGGACCGGACTGTTTTTGCGATGTTGTACATTTGCGACCAGGCATCTTTTTACACTTTTGTGTTTAGCTGTAATTTTCCGCTCTCTCATTTACTGTTCCCATACAAATTATATATTGTTTTTTTCAGGACAAAAAGGGGCTTTCTTTACATACCATTATTTATATAATCTCATGTAATTTAATTTTAAAAAAAATGAAAAAAATATGATGAAAAATTTAAAACAAATACATGTTTTTTAACTTTTACTGAAAAACCTTTTACTCATCTACAAAAGAGAATGAAAAAAATGCTAAATAGATTCAAAATTGTTTAAAAATATCCAGTGTTTACATGCTTTTTTGCTATTTTTTTGCATGTTATAGGGCTATAAGTACAAGTAGGATATTGCAGTTTCAAAACATACTTTTTTAAAATTTATCAATAGTGACATTGTAACACTATTACCTGTCATAAATCTCTGTATAACACCCCACATGTACATATTTATTTTAAAGTAGACAACCCAGTGTATTCAATATGGGATATGTCCAGACTTTTTTAGTAGCCACTTAGTCACAAACACTGGCCAAAGTTAGCGATCATATTTGTTTGTGTGTGGAAAAAAAAGTAAAAAATCTAAATTGAACGCTAATTTTGGTCAGTGTTTGTGACTAAGTGGTTACTAAAAAAGACTGGACATACCCCATTTGCAATACCTTGGGTTGTCTATTTTTGCAAATGGTATGCCATCATGGAGGTAATTCTCATTCCTGGGCTACCATATGCTCTCAAAGGCAATGTAACCAATCTGACCCTGTAACTTTCAAAAACGCTATAAAACCTGTACATGGGGGGGTGGGGGGGTGGTGGTATTATAATAAGGAGACTTTGCTGAACACAAATATTAGTGTTTCAAAACTGGAAAACGTATCACAACAATTATATCATCAGTAAAAGTGCTGTTTGTGTGTGAAAAATGCAAAAAAAGTCACTTTCACTGAGAATATCATCGCTATGATATGTTTTACTGTTTTGAATCACTAATATTTGTGTTCAGCAAAGTCTCCTGAGTAAAACAGTACCCCCCATTTACAGGTTTTACGGTGTCGTAGAACGTTACAGGGTAAAATACAGTAACAAATTAAATTCTCTGGACTTTTGGCCTGGGTTGGCAGGCAGGTCCCTCAAATTGCAATCAATAAAATTACTTAATTATGTAAAAATATTACATAAATACGCACGTAGAATTTAAATATATAAGCATATTTATATATTTGAAGTCTACGTGTATATTTATATATTTATGTAATTTTGTATATGGGCATATGTATATTTTGTATTATTTTTATTTATATATACATAGATATATATACAATTTCATTCTAAGTGTATTTTGATATAAATATATATTAATATCAAAATACAGTTAGAATAAAATTATATATAGATATAATTTTTTTTAAAATTATTATTTTTACATTTTTAAATATATAGATATATATGTGTATATATCATATTTATATACACATATAAAAAAACTTTTTTTTTTTATTAACATTAACTTTCATTTTTTTTTTTTTAACACTAGCAGGGAGACTGCCTGTCAGCACAGACAGTCCCCCTGCAGGCATACACATGGACACCTATTGAGCGATCACATGGCCACAGGGGTCCTAACCCACTGCGGGGAGACTGTCTGGGCTGCAGGCAGTCTCCCCACACCGGGAGCACCGCCGTGGGAACGACGGCGATCGGGTAAGTACATCTGACCGTTAGGACGGTTCAGGACTGTCAGTGGTCGGCAATGCAAAAATGCCGATGACGGTCCTGAACTGTCCTCGGTCCTTAAGGGGTTAATAATTGAGATTGATGCTGAAATCTATACATTAGTCAATATATATATGCGCCTAATAACACTTTGAATAGATATTTTACAAATATGTTAGATAAGGTCGATAAAATAAAACGGGCGGAGCCTAACTGGCAAGCAGAGAGGACGCATGCAAGGCAAACTCCTGAGAAACACCTGCTAAATAAGCTATACTTCTGCCAAACAAAAGTTTTCAGCTCCAAGAAGTTACTCACCGCATATTGGGGAATCTGGTGACAGTCAGTACCTGACTCTGCACTTTCCTGAACCGGACTACATTACCCTCATTTGCTGCGGCCTTCAAGCCTGTCTGGCGTCGAAGGGACAGCCGCTCTCCAGACACCACATCCTGAAACTCGGAGCAGACATCTGCACTCCCCCATGCACGACAAAATAAAGAATTTTAAAAAAAATAAATAAAAATAAAACAAGGAAAGGTACTTACAGCGGGAGATTTCGATCGAATTCTTGATGCAAGTTTAGATAAAAAAAAATTCCAAAAGCAGGAGCAATAAACAAAACCTTTCTCAGGCTGTACAATTTCAAAGAATTGTCATGAAATTTGGACTACTAGATATATGGCGTATCTTTCACCCAGGAGAGATGGATTTTACTTGTTTTTCCAGAACATATCTCTCTTACTCAAGAATACATCTATTCTTGGGCAATGATATCAATTAAGTGTTGATACATGGAGTTGCCTGGTCAGATCACAATGCTATAATCTTGAACCCTGCCCAGAAAATAAATGTGTAAAAAGAACAGCATGGTGATTAAATGATAAGATCCTCCTTTAAAAATAAAAAATAAAAAAAATAATAGAGAATATATAACGGAGATGTCAGAAAAATATTTCATAGAAAAGGAGGGGAAATTTCTCTCCCTCTAGTATGGAAAAAACTTATAAAGGTGTTATAAGAGGATATCTAATCAAATTGGGCACAATTGAGAAAAAAAAAATGTGAAAATCGCTTGCTGATCTTTATATTGACTTTTATAAACTATCTAAAGAAAAGAAAATCTTACCAACCAAGGAGACTAGTATAAAATTATTATTATTATTATTAAGTCAAGATAATATAAATGAATTATTAATTGAGGAGAAAAATAAGAATTTACAATCTTTAAAGATCAATTAGTACTATAAGAGTAATAGAGTAAACGAGGTACTCACAAAAACTTAAAAATAAAAAATAAATGAGGAAGATCTATAAAATTAGGTCAGAGAAAGAAATATATGTGTCCACAAAAATTGGCACAGCCTTTAATGAATTTTATAGAAATTTATATAATCTAGAAACAGATTTAAAAAAACAACCCCCTCCAATGGAATATTTTGGGGGGGAAAAAAAATGCCAGAAGTATCTGGAGAACAACTTGAGGTCATAAATAAACCTATTACTCAAGAGGATATAAAAGCAGCAATAAATAAGCTGAAAATTAATAAAGCTCCTGGGCCAGATGGGTACACAAATAAATTCTATAAGATATTTAGGGATGTGCTACCAAAATGCCTTGCAATGATATTTAATGAGATTATTGTCAATCATATTTTCCCTAAGGATGCTCCAAGTGAATATTGTCCCAATTTTGAAACCTGATAAAGATCCAGAGATAATAACTAATTACTGCCCGATCTCCCTTCTTAATGGAGATGTTAAGATTTATGCAATGATCATAGCGGAATGATTAAAACCCTGTATTTCTGATTTACTACAAAAAGGATCAGGTTGGCTTTATCCCAGGAAGAGTGACAGCAGGAGGTCTCAGACGAGTTTTGGATGCACGTCGAATGGATGTTCCCCTTCTGACCCTGTCACTGGATGCTGAGAAAGCCTTTGACAGGGTCGGATGAGATTTTTTGAGTAACACTTTGACGGCATATGGTTTGGTGGGCGATGTGCACAACGCAATAATGGCGCTATATCCGGTACCTTCAGCTAGGACAGTAGGACCAGGAAAGATGCAGAATGGTTCACTATAACAAATGGCACTAGACAGGGCTGCCCCCTGTCGCCTTTATTATATGTTCTAACAATAGAACCCCTAGCTGCAGATATAAGAAGCAATAAATAGAATGTAGGATATGGATGAAAAAAACAGAACATAAAATTACTTTATACGCGGACGATGTCTTCTCTGCCGGAATTGATCAAGGTAATAGGACATTATAGTGAATATTCAAATTATAAATTAAATATGAATAAGACCATTATAATGACAAGAAAGATGGATACCGAGGACAGGAATTTTATTAGAACATGTAATTTTATTTGGGCAAAGGAGAATATTAAATTTTTGGTTATTAAAATTAAAAAAAAAACACAAAATAATAGAAGCAAATTTTCTTCCTCTTATAAAATATACGAATAAAATCTTAAAATAATGGATGGGTAAGGAGATTTCCTGGTTGGAACGAATAAATACGATCATATATCCTGCCCAAGTGGAATTACATTTTTAGAACGCTACCGGTACAAGTTCTCTTACCCTGGTTGAAAATGACACAGTCAGCTTTTTCTAGATTCATTTGGAAAGGGAAGAAACCCAGAATAAATGTAAATATATTATCGAAGAAAAAAAAAAAAGATGGGGGATTAGCAGCTCTGAATATAATAGAATATCATAATGCTTGTATGTTGGCACACGCCATTATCACTCAAAGTAGGGATCAAAAAGAAGAAGCCTGGTACCAAATAGAGTCAGAATAGATGGGAAAAGAAAGTCTGGTTTGTTTGTTTTTTTACTGTCCAAAAAATTAAGTTAACATTACAGTGGCCTAAGAAAAGTCATTGGTTATGGGGAATATCCTGAAAGTCTGGTATTGATTTAAAAAAAAAAAAAAGATTATTAGATAGAAAATAGATTGTTTAATTTCTTGTCAATAGAGGTGATTTCTGGTAATATGGAAGACTTAAAGGACCACTCTAGGCACCCAGACCACTTCAGCTTAATGGTCCAGCTAGGGTTATCCCATTTTTTTCATAAACATAGCAGTTTCAGAGAAACTGCTATGTTTATGAATGGGTTAAGCCTTCCCCTATTTCCTCTAGCAGCTGTCTCATTGACAGCCGCTAGAGGCGCTTGCGTGCTTCTCACTGTGATTTTCACAGTGAGAGCACGCCAGCGTCCATAGGAAAGCATTACGAATGCTTTCCTATGTGACCGGCTGAATGCGCGCGCAGCTTTTGCCACGCGTGCGCATTCAGCCGACGGGGAGGAGAACTCTCCGCCCAGTGCTGGAAAAAGGTAAGTTTTTACCCCTTTCCCCCTTCCAGAGCTGGGCGGGAGGGGGTCCCTGAGGGTGGGGACACCCTCAGGGCACTATAGTACCAGGAAAACGAGTATGTTTTCCTGGCACTATAATGGTCATTTAATTATTAGTAATTGGTTGTTGGCCAGAATAAAGACTATTAATGAATGAATAATAAAAAAAGGAAATTAAGCCCTTCAACCAGATACAAGCACAGCTCGGACTTCAAAGTAAAGAGATCTTCACATATCTCAGAATCAAGTATTTTCTGGGGAAATATTTGAAATTTAATCTTGAAGAGGGTAATAATAGTCTAAGAAATATCATCATCAATTAAAAGCAGAAAGGTCACATATCTAGATGTTTTGAACTTGTAAAAGAGATAAAAAAGAACTTTGACTTGAAGGCTAAAATTAGCTGGGGAAAAGATCTTAATATAGAAATCACTAACAAATGTTGGCTATTGGCTAAAGTAAATGTCAACAAAACAGTACACTGCTTAAATATTGTAGAGAATTTCTATAAAATTAGTAAATAGATGGTACATGGTCCCAGAAAAACTTATAAAGATATGCAAACATATTTAAAGATATGCAAAATAAATGCTGGAGATGTGAAATAGGGAAAGGGGATTATCCTCACATATGGTGGCAATTTGAGCAGCAAAAAAATAAAAATAAAAAAAAAAAAGGCTACGGAGGCATATTAAAGATCATATAAATGTAATATGTTAAGTAAATATACCTTTTACTCCACTGAGCTTTTACATCACGGGTGGCCTAGCATGCCTATTAAAAAAAAAAAACCCTGATAATAATACATATTTTGATGACCACAAAGGTAGTTCTGGCGAGAAAGTTTTCCTCCAAAATAACCTTTTTCAAATGTTTTGGCATAGTAGAAGACAGTGCTAAGCACCTAATCAATACCTCTTAAGTAGGATGAGGTGTGCCTGTTATGGAATAAAACAGACCTGAATTGAATTGAATTGCTGCCATACATGCATAGATGTGGATATGAGGGGGGGAAATGTGGTTTCTTAAGGTTTCCAGGACTATATTATTTTTTAGCATGTTTTCTTTGGGATTATATGGAAAAACACCTTGTAAAAGCTGCAGACCTGCTGCTTGCAACCTTTATAAGCCCTCTGTGTCTGTGAATAAAGCAGTTAGAGGCTTTTAACTAATAAGCCTCCAAGTTGGAACTGCAGGTGCATGCATTTGTGGCTTTATTTTAATTTTTTTGTTAATCTTTCTTTTATTGAGGCAGGTAAATGCATGACGATACAGATTAAAAGGAAAGTTACATCAAGTCATAAAATACATTCCTTGAGAGTCCAGCCTCGTATTTTTGTTGTTGGATATAAAACAGATTGTGCAAACAATAACATAAAGCTTAATAAGTCATCTCGGCATTCATACGTATAGCTAAACAGGCTGTAGAGTATAGTGACTTAACATTCAAAATAGTTGCACTTTTGCATTACAGTATGTAAAAGTAAGTTACGATAACATGCTAACCCTCTTAGAGTTACTCAAAGCATGACAGGTGTAACAGACTGGTAGATAGCATTAATGATGGGTCGCAATAGGTATAAGATGATCTGTTAGAGCATGGGTTCTCAACGTTAGTCCTCAGGACCCCCTACCAGTCCAGGGTTTAGGGATTACCTGGGTGTGTCTAAGGTGTTAAGAAAAAGAAAAAAAAAAAAAAAAACACCTTAGAGTCTAAGGTGTTTTTTTCCCTTTTTCTAAACACCTGAGACACACCCAGGTAATCCCCAAATCCTGGACTGGTAGGGGGTCCTGAGGACTGGGTTGAGAACCCTTGTGTTAGAGGGTACTGGAAATGCTTCATTAACTTGGAAAGTTCTCCACTGAAACGAGCATCTCTGGACAGCTGCACTTAGCAGGTTGATAGCTGCAAGGTATGAGAGGTAGAGCAAACATTAACTGGGCATTGTGATCCTTGTCAGCAGGTAGCACGGTCCTCTAGGGCAAAAACATGCACAGTCCTTTGCTTTAGATATAATCCAGTCACTTTATTGTTAAATCCACACAGGATACAGCAGTAAATGAAAAACATAACTGTAACAGAAAACCCTATAAACGAAAAACCTAGCTCGTCTGAGCACTAACTCACTTTGTATATCCCTCTCTATCAGGGTTAAACTAACAAAAACATATGGCACCAACCTTACTAGATAGCAACACTCTGCTAGCTAGCCTGTTGCTTTCCTTTCTCCACTCCCAATGCTCCAAGCCAGCCTTGCCTTGACTGCTTTCCTTTCTGCACTCCCAGTGCTCCAAGCCAGCCTTGCCCTGACTGCTTTCCTTTCTGCACTCCCAGTGCTCCAAGCCAGCCTTGCCCTGACTGCTTTCCTTTCTGCACTCCCAGTGCTCCAAGCCAGCCTTGCCCTGACTGCTTCCTTTCTGCACTCCAAATGCCTAGTCTCCTTGACTCTATCTGGAGAGAACAGCCTCTCTCTCCTACCTGCTTCCTGGGAGGAAGCCAGCAATCCCTCTCCTTTACCTGGAGTTTATTCCCACTGCAACAGCTCATTAACTGCAGCTGAGCAGTGGGTTGGAGACGATCCAAAAAATCCTGGCCTGGATCCATGTCTCCCCAGAAAACCACTAAACTGTGGAGTGGAGCATTGGCCCACCCTTCTCTCCAAATGCTCCACCCCAGGGGCCCATAACTAAACAGTGTTTTGTGTTGTGCAACACACAAACTACACGTACTTCCCCTGGGGTTAAAAGGCCTATCTGCCTTCACTTTATCACAGCATCTATAACAAATAATAGAGAGAATGGCAAATGCTAGCATGAGGCCCATGTGTGAGGCATGTTATGTTCCAAAACCCCGATCAGCTAATCCCCCTGAGCAGCAAGGCAAGAGTGCGTCCAAGAGAGTACATGTGGACAGCTGCAATACCTTGTTGGGTCAGGTCCCCCCAACCAGTCCCAGGCCTTTCTGTGTGCCAGCATCCACGAACCACAGACTTTGTGTATCCTGGGGGCCAAGTCTATCCTCATCCTGGGGCGGTCGGAGGATCTCGTTCTGTTACGTAGACTGCGGCACATGAAATTAAGCCTGTGTGGCTGATGCAGAGAGGTCTGACCTCTCGAGATGGGTCGGCATACGGTATGGCAGTTCAGCTTTTGGCTGGCTATACTGCCGCTCACTTCTGCCACCAGCGCTCTCCTTCCGTCGGCTCAGGAGGAGATGCATTCATATGCTCTGAAAGCTTCAGCCAGAAGGCTTTGAAGATCTTGTCCAGTCCTGATTCAATCGAGTGGAAGTACATGTGTCTGGATGGACTCAGGCTCTGTTTGTCAACAGAAGTTGCGTCCGCCATTTCGTAGAGATCAAGTACTCGCTGTACTGTATAGAGTAAGTTCTAGTCGAACGGTATGTGCAGTATCAATGTCCCAAAACAGGTTCAGTGGGGACTGGGATAACCCCACCGGTCCTGAGGGGGGGGGGGAGAGGAGCGCTGTGCAGCCCTTCGTGGAAACTGTGACAAGGCGATCGGCCGCCTCTCCTTTGCCAGTAGGCCTTAGCTTAATTTCCCGGGTTCCCGGTGGAGGGAAGTCTCTTTGGAGGTCTCAATGCATCACCTGGGATTTCTCAGCAGAAGCAGTGCGATATGGTAGGTAGGTTAGCATTTTATCCACAATTCGACCCTTGCAGCAGGAGCACGCTTTACACACATCTGTCATGCTTGATGGCCTAGCTCCGCCCCCGTGATTGTGGCTTTAAAATGAGCGGCAGCTCATTGAGAATGGTAGTGCACCTAGTCCAGGACAGCTGGGCTACTGCACGGAATCAGGAGAAAACCTCCCTGGCTGTGTAGGTGTTGGGTGTTTCTGTCCCAAATAGAAAAAAGTGCATATTTCTGTTGAAATCTATATTATAATAAACTGTCACAAATACAAGAACAAAACAAACAAAACAAAAAAAAAAACTTATTTAGAACATATGCCAATGCCAAGTTCTCCCTGTAGCCTACTCCAGTTAATCCTTTAAGTGGTTTTATACACAGAGATTAAATGAATGTGTATAAGTATTTTATCTGCTTAGTGGTGTTGTAAGGTTAACAATAATAGCTCCTCTGTTCACTTTTACACATCTATTAGTTACTTCATTTTTTCGGTTTTATACACAGGTCCCATCTATGGTAAAGTCACCTGTACCAGAGAATACACTGAGTGGCTGTCATCCTGACACCCACTACAGGCTTTTCCTTATGGAGATCTCTTCCAGCCTCCCTCTACTACATCTATAGAGCGACAGAAGCCCTGCCATTTAGGAGTTTAATCACGTGTTTCTGTTTATGCAGCCCTAGCCACTCTTCCCCCTACTCAGACAGCCTGCATGGAAAAAAATTGATACATTTTCAATCTGATGTTAACTTGCTTTGGAAGTCTCTTACTCTGTAAATTAAACTTTCATCACACATAGTAGGGTCCTGCTGGATCTAGAAGGCTATAAACAGAGCAGGAGATAAGACATTCTAAATTAAACAGACTGTGCATTAAAGGTAGCTTAAACATTTCTCTTTACAGGAAGTGTTCAAGAAGGCTGTGTGAGTCACATGTAGGGAGGTGTGGACAGGGCTGCATAAACAAAGAGTTAAAGTGACACCTTCACCTGGCCTCTGAAAAATTAATATTTCATAGATAGAATCTTTATGAAATGCTCATTTGGACTGTATTGGAATTTTACTGAAATTCCAAACCAGTGAAGAGACATACATAGACAAAGTAGAGACTATGTTATCTGTGTATTTTTCCTCCACCTGCCTTTTTAGACTCAAGGCAGAGTCCTGCAGCCACCGGACCATCAACGGCAATGTCAATGTTGGGGGACTTTGACAAATTCGCAGACGGTATCAGTGGTGCTTTAATGCATAAATGGCAGACAACTGAATACAATCTATACACTAAAACTGCTTCATTAAAGGGACACTATAATCATCAGAACAACTATAACTTAATGTAGTTGTTCTGGTGTCTACTGCCTGTCCCTGCAGTCTTTTTAATATAAACACTGCCTACCACCTTTTCAGAAAAAAGGCAGTGTTTATATTATTGCCTAGGAACAACTCTAGAGGCAGTCACGCAGATGGTCACTAGCAGTGTTTCCCAGGTCAGTGCTGCATAATGTGTAGCACTGATGTTCAGTGTCTCTGCGGTCTCCCCATTCAATATAAGAAAATATTGTATATATAAATAATTGGCGCTGTTCATACGTGATAGCCAATCCAATGCTTTCCCATAGGAAACATTGGGAGGCTAAGATCACCAAGTTTCATGATCTCAGCAAAGGGGTGGAGCGGTTGCGGAGCCTGCCGCAAGGAGACCCACGCAGCAATGGAAAAAGGGGAGCAAAATCACCTTTAACTCTTTTCACAGTGGGGGTAGCCACCTAAACTGTTATTCAAGAACTATATAGTGTCAGAAACACACGTTTGTATACTGAGACTATTAGTTGGCGCTATACAAATACCAATAATAATGACACTACAGTGTTCCATTAACCCCCTTAACGCCGTTCTATGCCGCCCCGCATTAAACGGGCATTAAAGCCGTTGCGGCGGCATAGAACGCCGTAACGGCTTGCAGCCGCTGGAGGTCCGGTGGACTTACCTCCGCCGCGATCCTCTTCTGGAGGGCTGCCTGACAGCCCAGGCAGCCCTACCCTGGCAAATGAGCCCCCCTATAGCTGGCTGTGGATCTGCCAGCAGGGGGACTGTCTGAAATGTCAGACAGTCCCCCTGCTGGTGAAAAAAAAAGAATTAAACATGTGTAAAATTAAAATAAATGTATTTTTATATATATATACATATTATATATATGTAACGTCATACAAAGTGTATTTATTATTAATATAAGTACATATATTAGTATTAAAATACACAGAATGACGTTACATATATATAATATGTATATATATATATATATATATATAAAATAGATATATACACATCACATATATACGTATAATTACAATAAATAAAATATTGAAACAAAATTTTATATAAATTATATATTCATATGTAATTTCATTCTAACTGTATTTTGTTAATATATATATATTGGTAACAAAATACACTTAGAATGACATTCTATATATCTATCTATATATATAAAATACAAATATATATACACATATAATTACATAAAAGATTACATTAGCATACACATAGAATTTAAATACCTATAAATGCATATATATTAAAATTCTACGTGTATATTTAAGTCTTTTAACACAATTATGTGATTTGATTAATTCACAAGCACTATATTTGACCCTTTAACTCTCCAAGACACCATAAAACCTGTACATAGGGGGTACTGATTTACTCGGGAGACTTTGCTGAACTCAAATATTAGTGTTTCAAAATGATAAAATATCATTGTTGTAATAAAATTTAAGTAAGAGTGACGGTTTTTGCATTTTTTACAAACGAACGGCTCTTTTATGGACTATATTATTGTTGAAATATGTTTTACTGTTTTAAAACACTAATATTTGTGTTTAGTGACGTCTCCCGAGAATAACAGTACCCCCCATGTACAGGTTTTTTGGTGTTTTGGAAAGTTAGAGAGTCACATATAAGGCTTGCATTTCATTTTTTTCACATTGAAATTTGCCAGATTGTTTATATTGCCTTTGAGTGTGTATGGTAGCCCAGGAATGAGAATTACCCCCATGATGGCATACCATTTGCAAAAATAGACAACCCGAGGTATTGCAAATGGGGTATGTCCAGTCTTTCTTAGTAGCCACTTAGTCACAAACACTGGCCAAATATTCATTTTTTGCTTTTTTCACACAAAAACAAATATGAACGCTAACTTTGGCCAGTGTTTGTGACTAAGTGGCTACTAAAAAAGACTAAACATACCCCACTTTCAATACCTTGGGTTGTCTACTTTTTTCAAATCATATGCCATTATTGGGGTAATTCTCATTCCTGGGCTACCACAACATCTCAAAGGTAACATTAGTAATCTGGCAAATTTCAATTTGAAAATGTAATGTGCTATATTTGACCCTGTAACTTTACAAAACACCATAAAACCTGTTAAGGGGGGGGTGGGGGGTAAATTTTATTCATAATAAATGATGTTCCATTTATGAATAGTTAATGGTAAATTAAAGCCCTGGTTCTCCTGAACAAAATGATATATAATAAGTGTGGGTGCACTTAATGTGACAGCGGTGAATTACGGTTGAACAGACATATAGCGCAAATTCCAGTTTTTGTTTGTTTTGTTCAGAATGTGCACTATTGACTCCGTCCTGAAGGGGTTAAGCTAGAGTTGTTTTGGTGACTAGAGTGTTTCTTTCTTAGTGACACCAGGCTACACTCTGAGCCCATGCAGCTAATTCCAAGATCTCCATTATTAGAGGAGCCAGTTTGGCTACCTACAACAGGGGACTTCAGTACCACACCCTCTACAGTAAGCTGTAGTAGTGGTAGTGCTTGGAGTGTTCCATATATATAATAAAACACTAATTATACTGCTTTTTGTACAATATTCAAGAGAAGAGTAAAAGTACTATGTACCATTTGCCTAATGCACACTCTTGCTTACAGAGTAATTTAAACACCACTAAAAGTCCAAAATATTACACCAAATCAAGCGTGTAAATCAATGCAGGTAACTTTTAATTCTGAGTCATGCCTTCCAATAAAGAAATATCTCGCTTGATTTGTATAGTATCACACATGGGGTAATAAAAAATAAAAAAAAACAAGTATATAAACCAACACATTCAGACTATACTCGGGTAAACTGCACACATGTTATGAACATATGTTTCTCACATGAGCTCTCACAGAGGCGATTAAAATACAGGAGAAATTACCTGCAATACTATTCTTGGGTAGGAAAAGGGAGGGGAAGGAGGTAAATCTTCAATGACAACAAATGCCGTAAACTGTATAATCAGACAATCCCCTGAATTTTACCTGCGACCACAGCTGCGTCGAGCCCAAGTGAGGTTCCAATGAGTGTAGTTACTGAAACGAAAGTTCCCGCGCATGCGCACGTGGGGGGGGGGGGAGGTCGCGGTGTAGCCACTGTGGCGCACGCGCGGGTCAAACAGCCGCAGCGCGTGCGCACATTTACATTTAAAAGAAACGCGTCGGCTTCGTGTGCGCGCGCTCGCCCTGGGTGTCAGTTGACGCGCACGTGTAGGTTCAGCATTTTGGCGCGCTAATGCTTTATTCATTCTGGGTGTGACTGCGCTGGTTTGGAAAGAGAGGATTGTTTCAGGCTTTTGCTTACTCTGTCATGACGCTATGGGAGATGTTATTGCTGATTTTTTTTAAAATTTTTTGCAAGTTAATTTAAAACGATGTGATTATATATTTTGTACAGCAATCACAGTTAAGACTAGGGAGGCAATTTTGCTAATATGTGAACTAAATTACGTGGTTATTGTGAGGAGAGTCTGAGTGACATCACTGAAAGGGGTATGGGACTGGCTGGGAGAACAAACTGATAGGTCAAGTGTAATTGCTGCTGTTGAAGATGGTGTCTGACTTTAAGTTAAGCTCTGCAATAGGGATATGTTGAAACCAGCTCACTGTGTTATAGGTATTTCATGACATGGCATCAGAAGTACTAACCTGTGCAGCTGCTTGTTAAACTGTGAAGATGGCTAAGTTTATTCAACCTGAGCCATTTGCTTTTTCTACTCCAGCATCATGGCCTACCTGGTGCCAATGGTTTTCCTGCTTAAGGATTGCATCCAAGCGGATAAGAAGAGTGCTGCAGTACAAGTTAATTCTCTTTTACATTCTATGGGGAAAGATGTGGAGCATGTTGTAAGATGCACTGCTGCTGGGGAGAGCGACCGGTTGTCTCCTCTCCCTGTGAGATGCATTGCCGCTGGGGAGAGAGACTGGTTGCCTCCTCTCCCTGTGAGATGCACTGCCCCTGGGGTAAGAGACCGGTTGTCTCCTCTCCCTGTAACTCCAGCTGCCGCCGGGGATCTGGGCCGGCTGCCCAGCATCCCTGTAGGGCCGGTGGAGAGACTTCGGTCCCATCTCCACCTGCCTGTTGGGGTTCCTCACAGGACCAGTCTATGAGGTCCCCTACTTCGGCAAACCTCCTTTCGTTGTAGACTTCTTTTCCTCGCTTAGGCCAGCAGCAATTCTTGGTCCTTTGCTTGTCTTTCGACGGTTACCTGGTTCCAGATCGCCTGGAAGGTATCCATGGACACATCAGGGCCATACCAGGCCACTTGCTGCCTCACCTCGGCCAGCAATTCTTCACAAGAGTCAGAGTACGCCATACTTGCCTGCACCAACTCAATGGACACCTCTGCTTCCAGGGGCGCTGCATGAATGCTAGCATTGCCCTTACTATGATCAACACGTTACCGGTGTCTCCAGGATGCTTCTCCTCGCACTAGGGCGCCATTCCTGCCGCTGCCTCCAAATGTGACGGACCATCTGGCACTTCAACCAAGTGCCTCCGCCAATCGATGCTCCTTGTGCTCACCGAGGAATTCCAGCACTTCACTAGACACCATAAGCACGGCAGTCACCACTTCCAGCGATGCATCTGCGCCAGAGTCTCGCCGTCCTTCACCCACCCTGGACCCAAGACCAGGATTCAGCTGCCAGTGGGCAGACCTCTCCTACTCCCAGAGAGATTGGCAGGAACAGCTCTTATAAGATTCCTGGGGAGTATAGTGATATAACAATCCCCAGGATAGATACGGCGGTTTCCCCCACACATGAGATGAGACTCTATATTAAGGGTAAGCAGGAACAGAATTTTAATGGAGGCACACTGGCCTTTTATGCAAGTTTCCTAACAAGGGTGACATCCAGGTGGACCTTGTTGGGCACAGGGACAGAAAGTGAATGAACCAATAAAAAAGTCATACAGTGAGACACTCCCATACATAAACAATAGAATTCCTCCTCTGTGCTTGGAAGATAATTGAATCAGGAACTGTACTCCTCTAACCCAATTATCTCCAAACACAGAAAAACATACAATTTTATGAAACCCAAAAAGTACTTTAAAAACACATAAAACCCCATAAGTTGCATCCTCTAAGATTAGTGCCCATTTTGTGTTTAGGAGGAATATAATTCATGAGAAGGCCTGTTTTCATAAGCGTGCCCAGCATTAGGGTATATCAGTGGAATCTTTTATGAATTGCCCAAGTTCTGTGATCAGAGACAGAATTGTCATAGGAATTGCAGATTCAGAAGTCTCACTGAAGCTGGAGTTTGAGTTGACACTTGATGAGGCTATATGAATGGCCCGTCAGAATGAACTGGTGGATACAAGAAGTGCTGCAGTCCAGGAGAGCTGCAAGCAACAGAGTGTGAATAGCAGGCAGCAGATGGGCTCACAGACGGTTAGGTGCAACAGGCTCGTTGCACAAGATATAACCGCACTCACAGAACAAAGCTGTTTAAGCCTTGTGTAACGGATCGCCGGGCACCCCGACTGGGTACCTCCGTTGATTGATACTCCTAGCGCTTACCAATGACTCCAAGTACTCGGCCAGACACCAGAACCACTGCAGACCCCCAGAACCGCTGCAGCTTGGTTGGGGTCTCTCCGTCTTCTACCCACCCTGGGCCTACGACCAGGCTCCAGTGGGTACCCCTCTGGAGAGAGTAACGCAGGAATAAGCTCTTAAACGAGCTTAGTAGTGATTATAGCCAGGAAATATGCAGAGCATAGCAATCCCTTGTAGCAGATTCCCCCAATAAGAGACAGGACTCCAAATTGAGGGTGAAGTAGAACTCCAATTTAATGACACATACTCTGCTTTTATGCAATTCTCCCATGCAAGGGAGACACCCACAGACAATCAGTAACCATCCAATTGCTAACTGGTTTTCGAATGGCGGACACTTTGGCTGCATCCGAAGTGCCAGTTTAAAAGTACAGATCCTTTTCTTAGGAGTTAAAGGGCCAGCAGCAGCACAATAAAAATCCATTATGCCCAAATAAGTTTCTTAACCCCTTAAGGACACATGACATGTGTGACATGTCATGATTCCCTTTTATTCCAGAAGTTTGGTGCTTAAGGGGTTAAAGGGCAATACATCCCAGGGGCCATAGTCACAGGGCAGGAGGCAGGAAGCAGCCCCCTCCAAAAACTCATGGCAAACTCCCTTAAATGGGTGACTTTGCCACACCTTGCTAAGGACAATTGGTTCAGAAAGTGCAACCAAATTGGCCAGTTTGAGGTGGTTTGCAAATCAGAATCCGTTAAGGAAATACATCAGGAAAGTGACCAACAAGGGGTGTCCTTTGTATAGTCTGTGATTAAACAGTAAGGTTCTGGTTAAGATTGGCGAGTTAATCTCACAGTGATGGGTGCAGGATTGCTTTAAGATTAATACGGGGAGTGCACATTACTCTTATTCCTTTTGCAACATTCATGAAACTGCCACAACACAGCTTGAGGACTGTACAATAAAACTTGACAGCCCAGGAGGTCGCATGGATTATGTCGGGGGATTTCTTGCAAGCAGTGAGTATAAGGAAAATAAAAATACTCTAAGGGTGTATGTAATCAGAGGAAAATGTGTTAATAAACTTTTGAGCTGGAACAAAGCTTGCAGTCCGGGCATTGTTGCAATGGTGCATAAGGTCACAAAGGACATAGTTGGAGATATTGGCCTGTTTAATTGTGAGCCGGTCGAAATACAGCTTAAAATCCCATACAGTATTACTACAACTCGTAGAATTCCATTCCCAGTTTTGCCACTGGTTTAAGCAGAAAGTGGGAAATGGGAAAGCTCACATTTGTTTTGATTTAAAACGCCTAAATTACGCTGTAAAGAGAGAAAGATATATGCTGCCAACATTGGAAGATATAGCTCTAAGGTTGTCAGTGGCCAAATTCTTTTCCACACTTAATGTTTCCAGTGGATTTTGGTACATACCCTTAGACCCAGGGAGCCACAAACTGACTATCTTTATTACATCGGTAGGTCATTTTTGTTTCCGTAGACTCCCCTTTTGGATATCGTCTGTACCTGAGATCTTCTAAAGAAAGAAGAGTTCCATCTTGGGTGACCACGAGGGCACTGTAGTAGTCATGGGCGGCATCCTAGTGTATGTTTCCACTCAAGAAGAGCATGATCAGCGACTGCATCATGTAATGCAGATAAGAGCATCTGGACTGAAGGTGAACAAAGATAAATGTCACTTTTCGAAAACTGAATTGTGCTTTGGTCATATTATTAGCAGAGATGGCATTAAGTCAAATGCCATTAAAGTTTTTGCTATTGAGAAAATGAAAAGCCCCTCTGGCATAACTGAACTGATACAAATCCTGGGTCTTGTGAATTATTTGGGAACATTTCTACTGCTGAAGATGGTGTTTGGCCTCAAGTTAAGCTCTGCAATAAAGATATATTTTGAAACCAGCTCACCGTGTTATATGCATTTAATGATAGTGATGAATTGATTTCATTGTGCAATCGCTTGGGTAACTACTGTCTACCTGTGTCATATGTTTTGTTAGAATTAAATATCTGCCTTGTTTTCTACTGTACAGTGCTGTGGAATATGTTGGTACTATATAAATAATTGTAAATTAATGCATTTGACGAATCTAGTGCATATGTAAAGGAATATTCTATTTACTTATGTCTACTGTGGACCTTGTCCACACATATCCTAACTCCAAACTTAACAAGAGGGTTTTTTCTTATATATAATCTATATCTGTGGCAGCTCTACAGATAGGTATAGCCCCTCATTACTAAATTAGACAGGATCCCCTAATTAAAATAATTATATTGAATTTCAGCCACTATACCTCCAAGTTTTTTTTCCTGTCCACTTCATGTTGGATTCAGGATGATTTGCACATATATCTCAAAAAACACTTATAATGAAATCATATATATGGATTATATATGTATACTCGAAAAGATAAAATTTGGGGGGAAATTGTGTGAAGTGTTCTTGCCTCCACCAGTAGTCTACAACTGGAGTGGGCGGAGTAACTGGTTGGAGTGGCTTGAGTAACTTGTGTGGTTCACT